TTTCTAAAGATGAAGTTACCACAACTGACCACAAGACACAGCCAGAGACCATGCTATGTATAGCATTCGCTATTTAAATAGCGTTCACTATAATCCGCATTTTTCAGCATCTGCAATGGGGGCTTGGAATCAATTCCCCACAGATATCGCAGTCCTCCTGCAAGGAACAGCAATTTGGAGGCTTGGAAATTTTTACAACCAGTAAAAGTCATGCAAAATGATTTGCCCCACTACTGTAAATGTCCCCTCACCACTCCCACAGCTCTTGATAGACTGAAATTGGCTCTAATACAAATAGCGATCTTACTCTGTTTCCTCAAAAATAAGACCCAACCTGAAAAATGAGCCCTAGTAGGATTTTTCAGGATGCTCATCATATAAGCCCTACCCAAAAAATAAGCCCTAGTTAAGTGAAACCCTGCCCTACACCATGATACAGCAACAAGAAGACGACATGACTGTAAAATAAAACATCCCCCCAAAATAAGCCCGAATGTGTTTTTGGAGCAAAAATTAATATCAGACCCTGTCTTATTTTCAGGGAAACACAGTTGTTTATAAAGCAGTCTTAACCTATTGGCTGACCATTCTATTTTGTGTCCTCTCAGGCTCTCCAACATTAACATGCAGTGAGATGAAATCTGGCTCGTAGAAAACGTTTGTATTAAACCTTGCTGATCAACTTGGACTTTCAGAAGAATATTATGCAGCACCTCACTCAGCTCCTCTGCAGGAAAACACTTTTTTAAAGGAAAGATCTCTGTGTCCAAACAGATGCAGGTTTATTAGGCACCTCAAGACTTGCATGTACTGTATTTATAAAAAGATCTGCCATCTTACTTCACTGATGTTGTGAATTTTGATTATGGAAATGACTTTACTAAGGCACCTTTATAGATAGGCTGCCACGTGTTGTTTTAAAAGGCTGCTGCAAAGGGACTCTGTACAATGAAAGTGCCTGCTTCTGTGATCCTAAATCAGTTAAGGGTGTTATACTTCACTGTCCCTTGTCAGAAGCAGATTGTGCAAAACCACTGGGGTCCATTCTGGAACAACTCCCTGGACGATCTGACCAAGGTCCTACTCTCAGTTAGGTATACTGTACCTTCATCACATTTAGAATGGCAAGCTTTGTTTCCATACTCATGTTCTGCTGCTAACCAAGCTGAGTGTTAGATTATTTGGTTTATTCAGGGCCCTTCAACACTGAATTGCTACTTTATGGCAATTAGGTCTATTAATTATTATTAATGTTTTATGCTTAGATATTATAAAACTCTAAAACATATTTTAAACCTGCATAGAATCCCAACTGAAAATTGTACTGTATTGCTTTCTTGTTGAACACCCCAAGTTGCTTCTTGTTGATTTTAATCCATTTGAATCGAAAAACGACTGTGTGGCACGAACCTGCATCTAAAGTTATTTGTATACATCTCTCTAAATTGCGACTCATGGAGCGTTCTGAAATTATTCTATTTTGAGCTGACATTACCTTTCAATGAAAGGGAGATACTCTGCATACATCTCTTACCTTAAAACAAGAGCAGATGTTTGCAAGATAACTGGATTCTTTTTATCATCACATTCCATGAAGCGACATAGTTGATTCTAGCCAGCAAAAACTAAAGCCATACTTCTATCAACATTTACTTAGGAGGCAGTCTGAATGTACTCAAGGAGTATTACATCTGATGCAATGTATACATACAGTTGAGTAGTTGCTCTGTGTCTATACAACTTAAAGTTCCAGACTGCCACCTGCTGGCTCCATGATTTCCTTGTCAGCATAAAACATTTTCTACATACATACTAAGACCAGCAAAACTAAAGCACACCAAACAGAGAAGATTCATCCCCCTCATCATCATCTTAGAACTGCAGAGCTGGAAGGGAACCTACGTATCATCAAGTCCAGCTCCTGTCAAGGAGGTCCTGTGGGGAATTGAACTCCCAAACCTCTGGCTCTGGAGGCATAACAACTGTATGTTAAGCAATGTATGTACTAACCATGTTAGTACATTGTTATTATAAAACCAGGAGAGGGCAGTCTTAGATTCAAAATTTGTCTTCTAGCTCAGTGTTTTTCAAATGTTTTGATCGCCATCTTTGAACCCCCATTTTTTCCCTCTGCACAAACAAAAACAAAACAATAAAAATTGCCCAAAGTGACTGTTAACATCCATGGTCAACAACGAGCAAGTAAATTTTAAAAAGAGTTCAAGTATGACATAGAAGTGAGGGACCTAACACATCTCTTTAATCAGATTATGTCGCTCACAATGAAAGCTCATAAAAATGAAACTAAATGGGCTGATGAAAGCTTGTAACAAAGAGAGAAAAGTCATCCTTGTCATACCACCCATGAAGAACAAACGTGGATTTAGAAATTAAGAAAGGTTTCTCAAGCTGCCTTTCCAAAACATTTCACCTTTGAAAGAAGGGGTGCCACAAGGCTTCTCTCAGACCTTTGCTCTATTTCCAGACAATGCAGCCTGGACATGTCCAGACTTGATCAAGGAGATTAAACCAAAGCCTCCTCTACATATTTTTTATCCTTTTTTTGTTTGGTGTTCCTTTTTAAATAGCTCAGCAATAGTAGAGCGATTTAGAAATGTCAGGATTAAAGTTTCAGTCATAATCACATATACATGGAAACTAAGCTTTACTGAATTAAAGTGACTTTCTTCTGAAACAGACCTACTTATCTTGGATTCTACTGATATATAGGTTAATATAAAAAGTGAAAATCTGTTGAGGCTAGAAAACTAAGAGCCTGGTTCCTAAGACAGTCATTTGCTTAAAAACAGTAGCAGGCTGATTTAAGGTTAGTCGTGAATGTCTTCTCTAATAACTATGCCTAGTATTCTGTTGGAACCTGGTATGTTGAGCAAAATACTATGGTTTTCTTGGATACTTGGATGGGCTCATAACTGTGCTATGACTTGACTACAATCAGCAGAAACATTTGCAGCATTATGGTGATGAATCGCTGATCTAATCATACTAACAGGATACTCAATGGGACCATATTTTGGCACATTTTTTTCCAGGAATAGGTTCATACAGAGCTGAATCCTTTGTCTTCACAAGAAGGACACTCAACGTTAATGCAAAGACCCTGATTCCTAGGATTTTAGGACAGCACCAAGTCAGACGATTTGTCTGTCCAGTCAAGCATTATCTGTCTGGACCAGTATCAGCTCTTTGTGGGCTCAAGCCAAAGTTTTTCGGGTAACTTTGCTATCTCTTTTTAATGGGATATTGCTGGGAACTGGGCCTGGGACTTTCTGCATGGAAATGCCATGAAAGCCATTTAACAGTAAGTGGATTAAAGGTGTCTTCCTTTCTGTTACTCTACATTATAAACTTCAAATATAAAATGCCATGAACACCAACATTTCCTCCCAAACTGGCATTTTTACTGATACATCAAAAGAAAGAAAGAAAGAAAGAAAGAAAGAAAGAAAGAAAGAAAGAAAGAAAGAAAGAAAGAAAGAAAGAAAGAAAGAAAGAAAGAAAGAAAGAAAGAAAGAAAGAAAAAGTTCTGACTACAATTTATTTTATGTAAACGACAAGGCATGGTTCAGTGTTAGGTGCCATGTTGTATACCTATAAAATGTCTTATCCAATCTCAGAATTTCACGTTAAAGATCTTAGTGTTTAGGGAGACATTTGCCTGAGACCCTAAGAAAGCCTGTCAAAAGAGACACTCCGCTTGACATGTGGCAGTTGCTTATACCAATGTTAGCATTACTAATCATGGCCCACTGTAGTCTCAAAGCTAAACTTGGCAGATAAACAAATGGGGGAAAATAGGAAGAGCTCTGCGACATCAGACCGGAGGCCTACCTATTCCAGCAATACTGATTTCCATCTGTATTTCTGCAAGGCCTGATCTGGCAATTCAGAGGGATGTTGCCTCTAATCTTGGAAGCAACATATAGTTATCCTGGATGCAGGCACTGACAGCTTTATCCTCAATTTATTTGTCTAATCACATTTGAAAATGGTTTCAGCTGGTGGCCACTGCCACATCCTGTGGTTTTTTAAAAAACTCCACAGTTTAACTATGTTTTAAAAAGTATTCCTTTTTGAAGTCTTGAATTTTCTACCTTTCAGCTTCTTTGGATGACTCTCAGTTCTAACGTTGTAAGACAAAAAGAAGAACTCCTCCATTTACCTTCTCAATACAATGAGTCATTTTATTAATCTCTATTATATTGTCTCTTGTGTCTTGCTTCATTTTTAATGGGATTTTGGTCCAGCTCATTCACTATTTGGGTTGCCCTTTTCTGCACTCTTTCCACTTAAAATTAAATATGACTTTTTTAAACTTTCAGAAATACTGTATATTGTGATGCAAGAGAAACCAACAGATTTCTCAGCTTCCCAATTTATTGATCACATTGTTGGCCTTATGTACAATCCTATGTACACTTTCCTGGGACCAAATGCCATAGAACACAGTAACTGGTCTTGTATTGCTAGTCTCAAGCAGAAAGAAGACTCAAATTGCTCGATGGTTAAACAATCCCAATGTATATCCCCTTGAATCAATTGGTGTGCTCAGGTGAGGACTACCAGTAGAATACTGGCCAGAGGGACTTACTTTTGAATAAACATCATCCTTATCTTTGAAATACAGAGCTGGAAGGGACCCTCTGGATCATCAAATCCAGCTCCTGTTGAGGAGGCACAGTGGGGAATTGAACTTCCAACCTCTGGCTCTGCAGCCGGAAACCTAAGCCACTAAGCTATCATGGACAGTAGTGGGGTTTCCTACAACTAAAAACATTCTCTAAGTGAAACTGAAAATGCCACCATGTTCACCTCTGACATGACGATTCAGTTTAAAAACAAAATAGCAAGATGTTCCCCACTTTTTACAAGTATACCAAAAACTCTACCATACTCTAGCTAGTGTGTCCTTATTAGGAACACAAAACAGCCACTTCTGGGCAAATGCGTATGAAATTAAAAGAGACAACTTTGGTGTCTGATTTACTTTGATCAAGGTGTTTTATTGCATCTCAGAGGGTATACATGCGCTGGGTTTTTCTCAAACCAAAATACAAAGAAAAACTGTTTTGAAATTCTCTCTCTAACTCTCTGTCATTACAATGTATGTTACCTCCACAATAAGTTCAGGTACAACCACTTTTTAAAAATGGTACCATATACTGATTAAATAGTTAATTTGAAAGATTCCAGTGAACATCTTTCCAACCTAATATGCTTTCACAAAGAGCTGCCAAGCCACTCATAACACTGATCAACAGTGACCTTATTAAGGAGTCAAAAATCTTAAGCCAAGCCATCAGCATAAACAGTATGAGAGAACGAACTAAAACATTAAAAGAACACTTTTGTCGGTTTGTTTATTTGTTTACAGTAAAGGGTGCAGTTCTCCAGTTCAGTGTGACTTCTAATCACAGACAGTACGGAAAATACATAGTGCTGTATGGGAATGGTAAAACACTAGTCTATGGCGTATATAGAGAAGCACCGAACTAGCAGATGCATGTAAAAGCTAAATAAAAAATATTTATAAATCAGTTTTTTTCACAATTTATCAGTAGATACACTGACCAGTCTAATCAATCTGATAAGTTTTGAGACGGTTGCCTCACTGTGATTGAGCTTCCCTCAACTTCATGGCAAGAAACTTACCCTTTACTTATGTTCAGTGCATTTAAAAGTGGAGCTGATAAATAAGCTGTTTTTTTAAAAAACAACAACAGGAGACCCTTAAGTATTTTAAAACAGCTATAACAAGGTAATTCCTCTTAATTTTTCACAAAGTCACTTAATAGTAGATGGGTTAAATGTGTGTTTTCCTTTATATTACTTTAAATTATAAACTTAACATGTACAATGCCACAAAAATAAAACATATCCCACAACAAACTGAGAATCCTGCATTTGGGGAAAGATGTATTCCACACAATAAAGAGTCTGTAGGATTGAGAGTGCTTTTCTTGCTACCCGGTATCATTATCACGCTACTGTTTTGGATAACAGATGTACAAGAGAAACTGGACCTCAAAGGGGAAAATTCAGAGGGTTTGCCCAAGGTATTTACATTGAGACTTTCAGAAACACAGACACATCGCTCCAAATGGCTCACCACACAACAGCTGCATAATCTGTCCCTACCGAATAGGTTCAGAAAAGCACTAAGAAGGCATCAGAAACATACATCCATTGTTTAAGTTGTAAAACACACAAATTATAACCCAAGTACACAAACCGAGAAAGAGAGAGAGAGAGAGAGAAAGAGAGAGAAGGGATAACAACTAATATAGTACACATTCCTAGTGTTCACTTTCACGGCTGTGCTACACGTTTTGGAAGTAGGAGAGAAGTCTGAGTAAGCACTGGATTTGGTAGTGGTGGCTCACTTGGAGACTCTGAGCAACAAAATTCTTGTTTGTTGATTTCAAACTTGCATCTTCTGTCATCCTGTCAGAAAACTATATTTGTGAAGGGACAAAAAAAGAGTTGGAAATATTCAGTAACATACTGAGATATAAATATATACTGTCTTTTAAAAAGGCTATCTCAAGTGTTGATTTATGCAGACAATATGGTCCTATCATGTTTAAGTCATGAAGACAAATCCTCCAAAATAGTGTACCTTAAAAATAACTTTTCTAAAATGCTGGTGTTACTCCACCAATTTGGATGGGATTTAACATTTCTGAAGAAACTAATCTGATATTGGTAGGTCAGGTTAACATTCAATGGCTAGAATCCTGTTGCACAAGTTATACTGCTGCAGGTTCTGGGACAGCCACTGGGCTGTGGATAGTGATGGTGAGAACCCAGCAATACTGAGGCAACCATGCTAAAGACAATGCGATATGGAGAGACATGATCCACATAAAAGTACTTCCAGTAGGATGCACACTTAGACTCCCATCCCACTGCAAGAATCAGGGCATATTTCCTCTCTGCCACCTCTGCTCTTCCTACCACATGCAGCAGACCTGAGAACAATGGCTGCCAACAGGTATAGAGAGAAGTGTGAAAAGAGAAAGAAGATAGAGTTTATTTAGATGAAACGTAAATTGACTTTTGGATATAAACTCAAGGCTCAAGGAGGTTCAACTGAGAACTAAAATCATACAAGCTGAAATGCCCTCTTAGAGTCCTATGTGAAATCCCAGCAAGGAATACAATGAAGTGTTGGACTGTATTCCAGTAACCGAGAAAAAATGGATGATTTCTTACCTTGAATAGTTCATAAGAAATCTTTGATGTTAAGATCTGCTAATGGGTCCTTTGTTGGAGGTTTCTTGGGACTCTGAGTAACAGGCGAGGGACTTGGAGAGAGCTTGAGGGGTTTCCCATTAGTTAGGAAAAGCAATGAACAGAGATAACAACAAAAGAAAAAAACAGGAGCATAAGAACAATGGCAAAGTACAGTAATTATTAAGATCCTATGACAATCAAAACTTAGATGCAGTGAATGTTGTGTGAACGAGTGTCGTTCCTATTTTACACCATCCCGCATATGTCGGCATTATTATTTTTGATACATTTTGAGTTAAACATATCCAGGAATTGCAAAAGTTTAGTGATACAGTAGCAAGTCCAGTTAAAAGATAACCAAGGAAATCACTGATCATACAGAGGGCTGTCTGCCGCTAGCAAGGGGGAAAGCTAAACCAGTTTGCGTTGTGTATTATTTTTTCCCCAAGAGTCATATACTGTAAATATTGTTGATGCTGACCTGGGTACCAGGTCCTGCAGCTGCTCCAAATGGTGGCCTCATCATGGGCTGTCCATACAGACCTGGCTGTTGTGGCATCATGGGAACACCTGGTCCAGGAGGCTGCTGGGAAGGTTTTGAGAACAATTAATGGTGCCTACAATACAAATAAGTCAAGCCCATGGTTGAGCTTCTTATGGCTCTAACAAGACGCTGGCAAAACAGGTATTGCTATGCTTCATCCTTTTTAGTCATGTTATCCAGAGCCTGCTGAGATTGGTCAAACTGGAAAAAGATTAATTTTATCACTATTTGTATTCCCTCTTCTTTACACTATACTTGTACTATGTTGGGTTGGGAAACCTGTGATCCTCCTGATCTTGTTGGACAGTAATTCCTTTAAGATCGGCTAGATTCCCCAATATGCCCTATGTTTTCCTCTCTGCAAACTTCACCAGCTGCCTTGTGTATTCTGCAAATACATTAAAAGAAAAATTTGTGCTTGACGCATTATTCAGTATCTAGATAATTTCTTCTGTAAAATAACATCTTTGTTGCTAAGCTTCAAAGTATGAAGTGGGGCCAAGTGTCCAGTTCAGTAGTATGTGGACCTTTTTGTCCCTTACAGATGTATGCAAATTGCAAATTTCCAAGCTTAAGTAAACAGACCTTTATTTAAGTAACATGGCGTGATTTCTGCTTTTCTCAGTCCACATTGCAGCATGTTGACTTCTTTCTTTGGAAGAACAGTCTCTCAGTCATAAGTAACTCAGAAAGGAAGTAAAGGTCAATGGGAGAAGCAACACACGGTGGCAACCCTTCCTTTGGTTTTGCTGGATCAGTTCTTTTCTCTTAAATATGCTAATTCATAAACTTTCACTCACCATTCCAAATCCTGGCCCAGGCTGTGCAGGAGGAGCACCTGAGGGAGGAGCGCCTGCAGGAGGCACAGTTCCTGTCTGGAAACAGGAAGAAAATAGTTACATGGCTCACTAATCAAGAGTTTCTAAAAACAAAAGTCCCAACTAGCCAAAAAAGAAAAAGGTACACAGTATCAAAGGTTGTTCTGTCATTTATTTACGGTATTGTAGTAAGTCTAATATGATCTAGAATGGAAAGCTTGTATTAAATACTATTATGGTGCAATCTAATTCAATTTACTATACAGTATAGCAAAATGCTAGGCTTCTTTTGTGCACTAATACACATATCCAAAAATATTTATCATCACTAATTATTCTTAAACTAGACAAGATGCTTAGATTAATTTAGAAGGTGAGAGCTTGTTTTAGCTCCTATTGTGCAATTTCTTCAGAGATAATACTTGTAAATTAAGTTGTGTTGAGCTGTGTTTACTTTCTAATGACTAAATCACAAAACAAAGATCACTAGAATGTACGACACAGACTGAGTCTGTATCTTATGCTATGACAGACACCTTTCAGCAGTAATCACTTCTAAAGACCTGATAACTACATAATCTTGTATGACCACTACAAACACATGAGTCAATCTTCTCATGGCCTGATCCTAACACAATTACTCAGGGCCCAATTTCCATTGTATTTTAAACAATGGAACTAATTTGAACACATTTGCCAAGTCAAACACTATGCAATGTGTCAAGACCCATACAGTGTTCTACCAAAAGCATTCTGCCCCATTCATTTCAAAGGAAGATCCACAGGGACTTTCCCACTGCATGGAAGTTCCCTAACAAGAGGGTAATTAGGTGACCTCATCCACATAGAGCTTTTGGTACTCATCAGAGCTCTCTCAAATATGTGTATTAGGCCCACCAGATCCAAACCTTCTTCAGTCAGAGCATTAGCAAGACAAATTGAAAGCCAAACTGTGTGAAACTCTGAGCTTATAATTAGAAAGTAATAGTACATTTGCTGTCCACCAGCGTGATTTCTTCACAGCAATCAGCTTTGCCAATGACAAATTGCCAAATAACATAAGCTGGTTTGTAAAATGCTGAAGGAGAAATGTAAGTGCTAGACCAATCAAACATCTGTTACAATTCCAGGGAGCACTGCTTCTAAATGCAAAGCTCTTAGTCTCATCTGATTCGACCCTAAGATGGAAGCACAAGCAGATTACATGAGACAACGGGTACTTCTCATAGGATGACAAATTCACTGGGTTGGGAAGTACCAGAAGTATGCTTGCTATGTTTGCTCCCAGACTCCACGCATTCACCCGAATGTCTAAGCAGAGCCTGTGCACATTCAGCTGAATGCATGAAGGGACTTCTATGCCTTGCACGTCACTATGTGAAGAGCAGCTGTGAGTTTCCAGTCAATGTAACGATGGGGATCAGATAGGCTGAAAGTTTCAATTAAACATCAAATTAGACTTTCAGATTGACTTCCCAGCTGCATCGATTATTTGTCTAATGTACGCATACACACAAAAAAGTGGTCTGATTAAAAAAAATAAATATTTTCAGCTCAAAATAAATTATGTTATTCTGAAAACTTTTTATAACACAACAGGAAGGAAAAATGTTGATTTGGATGCAACAATTTTTTTTTCTATGAATAGAAGAATTTGTGTCAATTTGAGGGTTGTGATCCATTGGAAATTTTCTGCTGGCTGAAAAGAGAAGACGACCTTCCACACAGTCCTTCATGCCTATTGATGATTAAAGAACTGTCAGTGGAGAATGGGAAAGCAAGGGAAGGAACACCCAATCTCTCCCTTTTTGCCAAATGGGGGCATCCTGGACAGAATTCCATTATTAGAAGGAACACTCTGGCTCCCTCCACATTTACATTATCTTAAAATTCATGAGTAAGAACAAACAACATTAAAACATGGAAGAGAAAACCAGAAGTTTTACATTGGCATTAAATTTGTTTTTCCAAACCATTGCATTTGTTATTAAAAAAACAAAAAACAAAGAGGGAAACATTATTTCCATACAACTTGTTTCAGGAACTACAGTCAACTAAGTCTGAATAAACAAAACACTTTTTCTTGCCTATACAGTTTAATACTGCACAACCATATCCATGTGTTTTTTTTCAGAAAAATACCCTACTGTACACAATTAGACATACTCCCATGTAAGTGGGTATAAGATTAGATCCAAATTCATTTTGGGAAGAGCTTAAAAAGAGTTTTTATTGTATTTTATTACTCATGTAAGCCACCCCGAGTAGACTTTGTCTAGAGGGGCGGGGTATAAGTCCAAATAAAGTAAAAGTAAAGTTTTTTAAAAAAAGTTAAGAAAAGAGATTATTTAAGCCACTGACTTTTACTACAGTAAAAGCAAGGATAGCTTTGAACAGCATTTGAGACTAGATTGAAAAGGGAATTATAAAGTAAATCTGGCCCAATATGCGTTAGAAGCAACAACACTAAAATTCATCAACCCAATGCAGAAAATTTAAAAATATATATTTAGCAGTCAAAACTGTGAGATTTTTCAATGAAAGGCTACTTATTTAAAATGCAATTGTACAACCTTTTTAATAAGAAAAAAACCCTGTGGCAAGGAATGCTTTCAGCATATGGTTCTTTTGCAAGGCGGAACATTCATGTGCAAAAAAAGCTTGCAATAGTTAATTATATAATATATTTAATCAAACCAATATTGCCTTTTCCTTTAAAAGATACAAAAGTAGTACAGAGTTAATAGCTTTACTGTTTTCACTAATTTGCTCTACTTAATTATCATGTTTTAAATTAAGACTGTGCTGGGCATAAATTCAAAATATACTGCCACTTTAACCCTGAGGAAATGTTATGTTACTAGAACAAGTGATAATGGTGTCACTTGGACAATAGCAGGATGGGATATGCATTTCCCCCCAAAATGGAAATGTTATAACATTAATGGAAACAGACTTTAGGTTTTAGAGCAGTGATGCTGATTTTCTGGAAGGGCAGTACTCCTCCTCACATGAAAGAGTTTTCTAATATAACAATAGTGTCTTGGTACTTCACCAACTGTACATTGTCCAAGGCCAGAATATCTGAATCCTGCCTCCTTCATATAAGAGCCTGCCTGATGAAATATGAGACTTTCAGTGAAGGCCCTGCTCTCCATCCCACCACCCATGTAGGTTAGGCTGGTATGTACACGGCTGAGGACTTTTTCTGTAACAGCACCCTGCATGTGAAATTTGCTCCCGCTGTGGGTCTAACTGGCTCCCATCCTTTACTGATGCCCAATTCCAGTCAGAACACTGTTATTCTACTTGAACACTTTTAAGATTTTTATATTGTTTCTGGTCTTATTTTAAATGTTTTGTTTCTGTTTTTCCAGATTATATGTGATTTTATTGCACCTCACTTTAGGAACCCTGGTGAGCAGAAAAGCAACTTGTAAATGCCTTTAATATTTTTTTTAAAAAAAATATACTTCATATGCAATTCTCTACAAGTATGAGACATCCCCTGGAACACTGTATACCAATGGGCCACTTGGAGGAACTCCAGTTGACCACGTGGCAGGTGCTACTTTGGGTTGCCAGTTAGCTCCTCCTGTTAACTTCTTTTCTCCTGCATTCCACTGTAGATCTCCCCTAAGACAGACAATGATACAGAATGCTGTTATTCATGAGCAGAGCAAGGTTTGAAGCTGCAATCTGATCAGCATGCTTACTGTTGTTTCCTAGTGATTATTACAGGTGAAACAATTGGGAAAAAAAAACAAAGCATCCATTACAGTCAACCCTCGACTTACGAACGTCCTTAGATATGAACTTTTTGATTTACAAACGGCTCCGTTGGCAAAAACTGGCATCGACATGCGAACAGAGCTCGACATACAAATGAGGTCGAGGCTCTGTTCGCAAGTCAATGCCATTTTTTGCGAACAGAGCAGTTCGTAAATGGCTCCCTTCAAAAAGGCAGGGAGAAAGGGCTTGAAATTCGAATTTCCAGCCCTTTCTCCCTGCCTTTTTGGCTTCGGAACTCTCAAAGGTCTTCCTCCAATGTTGGGGGGAACGCCGTTTGAGAGCTCCAAAGGTGCCGATCACGGTGGCGGAGACCCCCAGGGAGGTCTCCCATGGTGGCGGGCAAGCCCTGGGAGACCTCCCTTGGGGCCCCCGCTGCCACGATCAGCACCTTTGGAGGTCTCAAAGGGCTTTCCGACTGACATAGGAAGAAGCCCTTTGAGAGCTCTGAAGGCGCCAATCGCGGTGGCGAGGACCCCCAGGGAGATCTCCCATGGTGATGGGCAAGCCCTGGGAGACCTCCCTTGGGGCCCCCGCTGCCACGATCAGCACCTTCAGAGGTCTCAAAGGGCTTTCCCCCTGACATCGGAGGAAGCCATTTGAGAGATCCGAAGCCAAAAAGGCAGGGAGAAAGGGCGGGAAATTGGAATTTCCAGCCCTTTCCCCCTGACCTTTTGCCTTTTGAAATGCTAGAACAGATTAATTCCATTCCCATGCATTTCAATGGGAAATGGTACTTCGACTTATGAAATTTTCGACATACGAACGTCGTTCCAAAATGGATTAATTTCGCAAGTTCAGGTACCACTGTATCTTTATTATCCAGGAGAGAAACAAGGTCATTCATAAAGCTTTCTTGTGCCTGAAAAAGCACATCATTTGGTTGTATTGCACTGACCACCATAAATACAAATTTTTAATATTTAGAGTTGTGCTGATGAAACCATTCTAATTTTTCAAGTTGTGAATTTTAAGTGACCCTTTAAGAACTACAGAGAAGCAGAACTTCATAAAAGTGCTAACAGAAATATCCAGCTTTACACAGCTTCATACTCATCCCAGTATCCTTTAGGGATTTTATAAAGGGAAACAGCACTGGGGTCTAGTATTTTTTAAACTATATATCTGGCCCTAATTAAGCTGTCTAGAGGCCCTTTAGAGAAATAAATATGCCAGGTTTCGCTGCAGCTACCTCTGCGTTGGTTAAGCAATTCTGACACATAGTGACTAAAGGTCGTAATACCACCTCCAAATGTTTAAAAACCAAATGACCCTGAAATGCACAGTCTATGATCACCTTAGCATACATGCCAAGCTTTAGCTATGAAAGGTTTCATATGAAAATGATGTTTTGGAGACCTGACATACATGCTCCTTCCTTTATTAGTATAGACTGACCACAATCTTATGCTAGATTTTTAAATGGAAGGTAGGCTAATTAAAAAGTCTTTGAAAATTAATAGCACATTAACATGTGACAATGGGAAGGCCTGGGGAAAAAAACTGAAAAATTGGGGGGGGGGACAGTTTTTCTCCATTTCCCTCCAGATTTCTTCCCCCAAATAAATGTCACTAGCTACTTACTTCTTTGATGCAGTAGCAGAAATTCCAAGATCTGCAAAGATGAATAAATAATTAGAATTTTTAAAATATGATCAAATATATTACTAGTTGTCCATTTTACATATAAACATACACTATCAACACTTGTTTTATTTCATCAAGTCTTAAGGATTTACCTTAGCATCCCTGATAGTCAATCAATCTTCCTACTAACTAGTGTGGTTTTGAGCCCAGTGAATCACTAGAACTCAAGACTGAGTTAGCTAGCATTTATTCAGCTATGAAAAACAATGAAAGAACTGAGAATGATGCACCATCAACCTTATGTTAGAAAGATTTCCTACACTACTCAGTATGGGTGCAAAATAAAGGTGCAATTTCATAATCCTATCTTATTGGGCATTTTATTTGCAAACTCATGACCCTGATTACTTTGAAGTCTCTTACATCTGCAGTGCACAGAGTACAGTCACAAAGCAAAGTTTATTTTAAGGTATTTTAATTGAAAAGGGCATTGAACCACAAGCTTAATTTTCTGGATTTCTCACTTTAAATACAACCCTTAAGTATGTAAGACATTTTATTTGGACTTTTATTCCACCCATTTACTATCTAATTCCATTACACAACAAGCTAGCTCAGCAAGACAAAAAATACAGCAGCTGAATGTTAAAGGTCAGGATGAGAACAGGAATTTCCTGTCACATAATAAATGAAAACCTAACCACTTTGTCTTCCTTCTGCAATAGCTATGAAAGAAACAACAGATATCTGACAAGCTGCACACTGAGTGAAGTTCTTAGAGTTTGGCGTCTACTGAATAGTACAATGTGTCACAGCAGGTCCTTAGAAAGCATTTTAAAGCCCAGCACCTATTTCTCTCCTACTTACTTCCTACTAAGTTTGCAAGAGAGGAATCAAGATCACTTCCAATGCCTTTGGTTGCAGCTGAAGCAGGAGGAGCAGCTGTGCCTGCAGCAGGTAGAGGTTGACCTGATGGCATCATAGTTGGCATAAGAAGGTCACCTAAGCCATCAAACACTGAAGATTTAAGGAAAGGATGGTAGTTTAGGAAAGTCTCATAAGTAGCACTGAAGCAACAGCTAACTAAATGACAAAACCATGAACTCTGTAGCAGATATGAGTTGCTACAGATTTGAGTACCATCACAAGGAACTGATGTCAGAATATTATCAATGGAAGGCATGCATACTTTCTGGCTAACCCGCTGAAATATATATATTATATCCTGAGCACAATATACTCTAATGAATACTGCAACAAGACGCAGGCCTAAACAACCGCTAACTTGGGTTTTTTTTTTACCTTAAAAACTCTTTAAAACATTGCATAGCTAGCATTTTCAATATCAGTATCTAACTGGGTTCCCAAACCATTACCATGAACATAATGAAGTACACATGAAGTTGTGTGTGCACTTAAAGCAACAACATTCAGACAAGATGAGGGACATTTCATGTAATATATGGCAAGAAAACTTCTCATGAATTTTGATACAGTACTTTCCAAAATGTCAAAGAAAGGGTCTGTCTGGACATCAGAGATTTAGAACAGGTCTTAGGTTTACACTTTCATATCAGTCCCACCCTCTCATCAGAATGACTAAAATAAATAATATGAAGTATGATATCTAAACTTGCTATTTATATTCAATAAATCAAATAATTTAAGCCTGAGGATTCCACTAGCTACAGCCTGATCCTTATCTCACCCTCCCACCCCCAGGATAACAACATCTCAACAAAGGCAAAACGACATCTCAGCAGTGTCATGGCTATCTGTTTTCATATAAGGAAGTTCAACTTGTTGTTTGGCTTGTAAATACAGGAAGTTTCTCCCTTAACTTTTTGCCTACTGAGCATCTATGCCATGCAGTTCGCAACAGAAGTGCATCAGTGCACTTTACAGACTGTTCTTCTTGAGACTGTTTAAGATAGTTCCCTGCAGTAGGATGCATTATTGCTCTCTCTCTCTCTCTCTCTCTCTCTCTCTCTCTCTCTCTCTGTGTGTGTGTGTGTGTGTGTGTGTGTAAAAGTGCAGAGAATATTTTCCACAGCTGGAAAATATAACAATATGTCCAACACAAGCAAGGGCAAGAAAGCCAAGAGATATAGTAAGAATTCCTAGAAAAGTACAAATAAACTCATAACCTACGATAATATTGATGCATTCATTTTCCTTGCTAGATATATACTTTTAGAAAAGATACTAGAGCTTAAATGATTATTACTCCCTATACTTGACTAGTCAGCACTTTCTAACCCAGAATAACATCACATGGTAAATACAACTATTCACACCAGAAGTGCATGCTAAATTTAATAAGCAGAGTTGTACTATGCTCTGGCAAGCAATCAGATAAAGCAAAGCAACACTAAAATACTTGGTTTTTTTTTAACTTATTCTGTTGCAGAACTCACCCAAATTGCAAATTTGAAGCAAGGCCCCAGCATGGAAGTACAGAATGAAAGAGATACAAACAGAAACGACAGAGCAGTGATGAAAAGTTAAGCTTTGCGTTGAGGGAAGAATACCCTGTAACTTTATTGTATTTAATTTTTTTTTGTGCCATGCATGCTTGGGAAAGCCTCAGCAACAATAGCAAAACCACACATCCATATACTGAGTATACAGTAGAAAGAGTTTGTCATCTTAGGAGTTTCTTTTAATGAACATGCATATCAAGCACATGCAGAAAGAGAGAAGGTGCACTTGGCTGGATCAGTGCTGAAATCCTACAGAAGTCATCAGATAGGAAGGAACTATCTTTCAAATTATATTCATTAGAACTAGGGCACTAAACCCATTTCAAAGGAACACAAAATATGAAGTTATACCTTCCACACTTAATTCCTGAATACCCTTTGCACATCAGGGAGAATTATACTAGCATTAAATTTCTGAAATGAAGGGAATGTTTTGTTCTGGAAATACACAAGAATTCTTCACTCACCTGAGGGATCGAAGGAAGTACTGGCAGGGGAAGGAGAAGGCGATGCTCCAAATGCTGCTTCAAAATTAGGCTGTAGTATATTAGCCTGAGCTGGTGTAACAGGGGAAGGTGATGGCGATGGAGCAATGAAAGAACCTCCAAAGCCTTTGATAAGTGAAAGAAATGTGGAAATCATTACATGAACATTGAAAGCTCACTAACTCTACACACAGGCTGCTCTGAAAAGCACTATAACTAGCTAGCAAAAAAACATACTCTCTTCCTTCCTGTCTCAATCAGATCTATGAATATCACCATCTTGGCTAGATGTGCCTACTAACCTTCCTTTCTACCATCATCCAACCCTCACCTAATAGTCAGCCTTAGCACTTGCACAGCTTTCAGGAGGAGACATTGCTGGGGCTGCCCCCACAATTCATTTCACTGGCTGAAATCTAGGAGAAATTCACAATTAGAGTAGGCCCACTGATTCAGTAGGGACTAGGTAAGTCAACTCTTTGATATATTCCATTGATTTCATCAACCTACTCAACTTGTGACTTACTACTGGACTTTAGCCAGAGTTTGAATCATAGAGACTCTAAATTATATCTATGAACATCCACATCTTAAGAATGCCAAACTTAATTATCTGGGGCAGAATTCTCTTCATTGGTTCTGCTCCTGTAACAGCCCATTGCAGACACGGCTGGACTCTTTTGGACCTTGTGCAAGGGTGTATTCACTACCCTTCTGTGCAAATTGGCACTCTGCTGCTTAAACAAGGCAGTATCTGCTTGTGCTCTGGCACTCTTGACCATCTACCAGCCACTGCTGTACAGTTCAGCCAACAGGACCATACCCTGGTCAGAAGGTGAACTGCCAATGTTGAGAAAACAGTTTTGAACCCATGAAATTGTTAGAGCAATAGTGTCAGCCAGACCTTAGAAAATTAATTTTTGGATTACAGTTCCCAGAGTTTCCTAGGCCCCGTGGCTCTGGTGGCAGTTTTGAATCTTAGAATGCTTCTAGATGGAAGGCTTCTGCCCTTAAACACTCAAAAGTCATTGTGCATCTATCTTGTCCTTCTTGTTGTTAATGTGCCATTTTGAGAAAGAAAATAAATCGAAGGAGTGCTGGAGAAAACAAAGGAAACTACAGACTGAAAACAGTATAAACTACAAATTCAAGACTGTCATCTGGACATCTTGTTCAACTAAGCTATTAGAACACTAAAATCCTCATCTTGACAAACACCCCAGAGTGTTCAGTCTTCAACAGTACAGTGGTGCCTCGCTAGATGATGTTAAACCATTCCATTGAAATAGCTGTCTTGTGAAAACATTGTCTAGCGAAAAGTGTTTTCCCAGTGGAATGCACTGAAACTTGTTTAATGCGTTCCAATGGGGGAAATAGTCATCATCCAGCGAAAATCGCCCATAGGGAAGCCATTTTGTGAAGCACCGATCAGCTGTTTAAATCACTGTCTTGCGAAGCATCAGTCCCGAAAACACCCGTTTTGTGAAGATTGCCCATAGGGAAGCCATTTTGCGAAGCTGCCGATCAGCCGTAAAAATTGCCGTCTTGTGAAAAAACGGTCTGCGAAGCATGGACCAAATCATCATCCAGCGAAATCTCCCATAGGAAAAACCATTTTGTGAATCGCTATAGTGATCACAAAAAGTTAACATCTAGCAAAAAAACGTTTTGTGGGGTAATCGTCTTGTGAGGTACCACTGTATAGTACAGTAGTCTCTTAAGGTCTCTTGTTGGTTTCAAAAAATCATATGGAGAAATTTGCATGTACTGTATTCACATATGGCACTCCTAGTTTCTCATAATAAAGAAAATTGCATCTGATTTCCTGAACAATAAATTAAAATAATGTTTTAAAATCTGCTTTTCTAAATTAGGGTTTGCTAATTAGTATTTCCTACACCTGCTTTTTTGGGGGGCTGTCACACAGAAAATCCGAAGGGTGAGCATCAGCTGACCCACAAAAGCCCTTATAAATATTTTAATTCAACAAAAACTATTGCTGATCTACTATTTGATCAAGAGGGTGCCAATGGTACTACAGTAGTGCCTCACTTAACGCAACTGCGATCGCAAAAAGATCATCGTAATGTGGGGCAATCGTAAAGCGAGGCACCACTGTACATGAGACATTCACCTTAGGTGACATTAGTTCCTAAATATTTTCCCCACTGAATTTCTTTCCACTCTGTTCTTCCTCCAGGGAAGAAGGCCAACACAGAAGCTCATACACACATGCATATTTAAGTATGTCATTAGAACAGGATTCCAATTATACATGCAAACACTATAAAGTTTCTTAGCAACATATTAAGGCTAAAGAAATTTGACAGACCCATTGTCATTTTGCAATGCTACCCCATTCATTGCAGAAATATAGAAATGGCTGAAGGAAACTAGTAACATTAGAAATGTATTTTTTTTCTTTTTAAAAATATTTTTAACATAAAGAAAATTATATAAACATTATATAAACAATTAAAAGTGTTTACTAAACAGCATTTCCCCCCACTGGGACCAACTGGGAGTTACAACAATGGAGCCCTGTTTCCCTTCCAAAATTATAATGACTCTTGTGAGGGGGCCTGCTCTTTTCCCTTTATTAAGACAAAATCAGTAAATTTTCCCCATAAATTAATACATTCATCTTTATTTAGGACCCCCTTCTTAACTTTAATATAACATGTTAGCTTATCATTAATAGCTATATTCTAAACTTCCTTATACCAATCATTTAACTGGAAATTAGAAATGTGTTTCTAATGAAGGAAAACAGTAAGGCCTGTTAGGCTTCTGTACATAGCTGTTCATTATCTGTGTCAGAGTACAGAAATATTGGTTTAAAGGATGAGAAGCAACATAAAATAACCCCCAATCCACCCTTATTAGGAAGGGCACATAGTTATTTTTCATTACCAGCCAACAAGTCAGCAGCAGCGGAGGAGCTAGAAGCAGCTTGGGTTGCAGTTTGGGGTTCAGGAGCGCTACTTCCAAAAGCATCTACAGGTTTTTTTCCAAGAGGCAGCAATAAAAGGTGAGAGGATTTGAACAATGAATATATTAATTTATTCTGAGAGGAAAACAACACCATGAACTATCAATAAGACAAACATCACCGATGGCAATAACCATCAACAAAACCAGAAAGGACAGGCTCAGGCACTATATCAGCTTTGATCGCAAGCAGCCCTCCAAGAAGAAAACAAAGGAGAGCCATGCTGACCATTTCATAAAGTGGTAAAATGGCCCTGTCATGGTATATGAGTAAGTTCCTTGATAAGCCACTTATTTATATGGTTCTGCTGAAAGCAGAATATTTCTGCAGTTCTGCATGTGATTAAAAATCTAGAAAAGTGATAAGAGTCTTATCAAGACTTGCAAGGCAACAGTGATAGGAAGCTTACAATGGCCTAAAGCTAATTGCTCATCTCAACTAGCAGGTCCATTGAATCAATGGAACCTTCATGAAAGTGTTGGCATACCAAATCCTCAAGGATGCATTGAGCTTAATCTAATTGGAACTAAGAACAAGACTTCAGCCATTGTAAATGGCCATCTGCATTACTCTAAAACAGATCAAGAAACACGAAACACTGCACATGCATTATTCTGCTAAGTACAACAGTAAAAAAAAACCCTCCACTGTATTAAATGGGACTTAGTCCAGTCCCAGAAAGTGTACAACTGTAATCTTTCATAGCCACAGAACAGAAGCTTAGTTCCTTCTCCTATTGAAATTATGACGTTTTAGCTGCTGATCTGAAACATGTTACAGTGTAGATCAGGGATGGGTTATCATTCTGAGGGCCACATTTCCTTGACAAAATTAGCATGCAGTGAGGCAATAAGATTTGATATTTGGGTTTTAGAATGTAAAAGCAGTACAGTATATGCATTCAGTTTTTACAGGTAGCCCATAAGTAACCAATTGCTACTCAAAATTTTTAGCTTTCTGCATTCGGCTGTTATTGCTAAGTGCCATTAAGTTGTCCCTGGCTTATGATGACCCCAGAAGGACTTTTAAGAAATGTGAGCTTTCTCAGGAAGTGGCATAACATTGCTACTCCAGTCCGTTTCTGTGGCTCAGCAGAGGTCTGAACCAAGGTGTTCTGAGTACAGCACTCTATCCACTACACTGCATAGGCTCTCAGCTAATGCAAAGAAAAATGGAATTAAACCCTAATATCCTTACCATGTGGAACAAATCTATAAAACTTTCCCAATCACATTCCTTATCAACTACTTAGATATCAAGCATCTGGCCAGAGAAATGAACATGACTTGTAGAAGCATCATTGCAAGGCATTCTAATGCAAAAATGAAGTAATTGTTCACTTCATTTGAGCAAGAAAGCAACTGCACATGCAGAATGTAAACAAAAATGAGGACAGATGACAATGTTTTTTAAAAATATGACTTTTAATTTTATAATGAATAATTGAAATGTATATTCAGTTCGAACACCGCAGGCACAAAATTGTTTATAATTTTTCAATTGCCAGCAAATGAACCATGACATGGAAACGAAATGAAATGTGAAATTCTGTAATGGTGAGGAGGAGCAATACCCACCACCAAACAGGTCTATCACACCTGAAGAGTCCATTTTGGCTGGGGACGCAGTGGGCAGGGGCGATGGTGCTGCAAATGCATCCACTGCAGTAAGCAGGATAATGTTTAGTGTCAACAAATCAGGAGTGGTAAGAGACAAGTATATTGAATCCGTGACAACTCAGTAAATATATACTGACTTCTGTGTTACTGGTACATGCAAGTTCCTTTTATATACTGTATGTCACATAATATCAGAGTGCAGTGAACCATATTTTTCAGGGGCACATTAACAAGCAAACTGCAGCTTGTGGAACTGCATAGTTTTATTTTTTTTAATATTTTTATTTATTTGATTTGTATCCCGCCCATCTGGTAGGTCAATACCACTCTGAGCGGCTAAGTTTTCTAATCATTGCTACCTATCTTGCATAACTCTGAACCTTCCACAACATTAAGTGAAGATGTCTGTTGAAGCACTAGACCTGCACACTCTCTTTGGTGTTTTTTTTAATTATTTTTTAGTTTTAACCTTTGTGATATGGTGCAAAAATGTTAACATAAAAAAATTCAAAGCAGAATGCTGGAAGTGTCAATATCCTCCTTGTCTTCTCCTCTCCCGCTTCACTTTTCCCTCCCTTCCCTCCTTGTTTTAATCCATGCACCACACTCAAACCTTCAACTTTTAATTACAGTACTTTCAAATATTTTTTTAATTTTTTATTTTTAATGTTCATGTTTGCACTTTTTCATTTGCTGGAGAGGGAAAAGGCAGAATGCTACAACAGCTTATCCCAAGAAAACAGAAAAGGGGCTAATAGTAAAGTACAGAGGGGTGGAGATGGACCAGCAGAAGCACACACCCATAAGGAAACATCGTCAAATGAAAAGCATTTGCACAAAGTGCACTTATCAGCAATCATCAATGAGGTAGTGGGGTCCACATGAGAAGATTATGCACTGGAGCAAACAAAATGCACCATCATCCAGTGGTGGTGTGAAAAAACCCAGAAGGCAAGGATTTTTATCCACCCGTGATTCTGTTGACACTAGTTTTAGCCTTGTGTCATTTGGACACCAGGATGCAGTGCTGATATCACTGGTGCAAGGGAAGTTGGGGGGAAATGCTCCTACTGGACCAGTCCTATGTAGCTTTAAACTATGGCTTAACTTTACATCAGAACTGGCTAAATATATTTGTCAAAGTTCAGGGCATGACAAGATTCTAATACACATGAAGGGACTCCATATAATTAAATGAAAGGAGCCCCAACACCATGCCTCTCATTCTGTCTCCAAAGCAAATTTCAACAAAATGAGTAAATGATGGAAGAATTCACTCTCTGCACTCACACCTACACTTCCACCTCTTCCTCTTGAGGAAGCACATGTGGAGAAGCCTCCACAAGTTCAAGTAAGGGCCAAAAACAGAGGGAGAAGGAAGGTCATGATATCAAGAGTGAGGGCAGGGGTACAGTCTTATTCCTCTTTAATCATATGTTGCACCTTCATATAAATGATGAAAGAAAGGTTTCTCAGTCAAGTAGTTTCACTTAATATTACCCAGTGCCAAAGTCAATTTGCAATATTTCCCTGGCATGATAGATAGCTGCACCCTCTTTACCCAGGTGGTGTGGGAACAGAAACTCTTTCCCCTTTTTTACAGGCTGGCCGTTCTCATCATATCAGTTACTCAGATAGAGAGCACCTTTCCCCAAACTACATATTTTCCAGGGGAATTGCCAAGATTCAACTACAATGGGACCTACTGGGAAATAATTTTCAGAGTCCTCTCAGAAACTTAGATGTCCAAGGCCTGTCCTTGGTATTGAGAGGTGGTGTTAACTGGCTGGGAAATAACTGAGAGAACGGATCTTCGAGGGTCTTAGCAGCAAAGTCAGTTTGAAGTGCCTCCATATGGGTTGTCTGGGCATGTGTGTTTACAAATGGAGATGTTGCTAACCAAAACGGCTTCTTTTCGACTGCACTGACTAAGGACTTGTTCCACAAATACAATTTCAAGCGGGATTGCTGGTTCTTAATAGCAACCTTTCTAAATTTGCAGCAGATCAAATAACTGTGCACTGGATGCCCCTCAACAAAACAGTATAGGCACTTGGAGTGGCTGTCAGTGAGGGAGATTTTGTTGTTACAGTGTACACATTTTTTGAATGGCCTACTGGGGCCATAAAAAGGCAGGAAGAGTTATTAATGGACAACAATGACTAAAAGAATTAAAGAACTATATAGGGACTTTAGAGAACTGAGGAAAACGCAACGGCTCTAAGAAAGCTCTCAGATGTTTTCTCAGCAGTGGCAAAAAGGAACTGAGAACTGCAGGGTGGGGAACACAGGCAGTGGAGAGGGTGTGTCTCAACATTTTCCATAGGCTCTGGAAGCTTCCAAGGTAATTTGTGAAGACGCAAAAGGAACCCATACGTCTGATTTCACAGAAACCACGAAGAACTTTTTTTGTGTGCGTGTGAACCGGCTGAAATCTCCAAGAATATGACAGGGGAGAAATGTATTTCAGATATCACTTTGACAATAAGATATTTAAATCTTCACCAATTTTAAACTGAGGAGCATTTAAAAATATGTCTCAGGAGAGTTAGAATAAGTCACACAGAGGGGAAAAAAATTATGATCAAGGAATAAGGACTCACCAGATAAGAGATCGCCGGTGAGAGAACTCTCAGGCACAGGAGAAGCTCCAGTTGGTGGAGAAGAAAAAGCTTCTTCCAGAAGTCAAGGAAAAATGAAGCAGAAAATAAGTGAAGACTGGAAATACAGAGAGAGGCTCACAAAAGTAACAATCATATAGAGAAGCAACTGAGATAGGAAGGAGTTTGGGTTATTATGGGAAAGGATAATGCTCTTTTTTTTTTTACCTGTACTGAACAGGTCTATGCTAGAAGTAGCATCTGTCTTAGGTGCTGCAGGGGCATCAGGAGGTGGAGACTCAAACAGATCTAAGATCAAGAACACACATGTCTTTAACTCATTTCTAGGAGACAAGCCTTTTCAGTTTTCGCAGGTCCAACCTGGAAAGTTTTGTTTCTTTCCCAAAGTAATTGTCACATACAGTATACATGCAAATTATTATTTTTTTGCAGATGCTGTACATCTGAGATCAATTAATCCAGGGATGTTAAAAAAGAGTTAAAAACAAATTACCACCAAAGATATCTAGAGCAGGAGGAGGAGCAGAGGTGGTAGTAGTGGTAGTAGTAGCAGACGTGGTAGCAGTAGTGGTAGTGGTAGTAGTAGTAGCAGTTGTAGCAGGGGCTGGAGGGGCCACGGCAACAGCTGGAGCAGGAGTACTTGCGGGAACTGGAGCAGCTGCACTAGTTGTAGGGGTAACTACAGGAACGCTGGTCTCAGTTGGCTTCATAGCAAAGAGGTCGAGCTCTTGAGCAGCCTCTGCACTGCCTTCAGATGGGGCAAAGGGGTCTTGTAGAAAGGAAAGGGCAGAATATATATATATATATAGGATCAGTAGGGAAGGAGATTGGGAAAAACCACACAGAGTGTGGATTAAAAACCACATGTACATATTAGTGCATTGTTCACACACAAAACAGAAAAACATAGATTGAAGCTAATCTCATTCGCCTGCATCTTAAATATGCAAGATTTTTTAATTTCCCCCTAAAATAAAGTGTTTTGCTAGACTAAGGCAACAGTTCCTGAAGTTTTATAACCTTATTAGAGAAGGAAGCAGAGCAATCATAGAACGTTCCCACAGCTGAACATGCATGGTTCACGTTTTTTATTAAAGAAGTGGAAAAAAATAACACTGTTTTGTTGATGCAAGATCTAAAATTTGGAGGTATGCTGGACAGATCAGAATGAATGCCTGAATATCCATAGGAAATATTGTCAGGGCAGGGCATGTAGGAAGGAGACAAAATATACTGCCATGTAGTTTATTTTAATACGTACAACACACACGACAATGACAGACTAGCTAACAAGATGGGACCCACCATTTCCTGAACATGCATCAAGAGCTGCTGCTACAGGGGTTGGGGTAGCTGGTGCTGCCGCCCCTTCAGGTGCTGCAGGGGCTTCACCAGGAGAAGCTGCAAAGGCATCTTGAGTGCAGTTTGAGGAACAGAAATTAAGAAGAATTAAAAAGAAGAAAAATATAGTAAAAGCACCAGGTTAAATGGCATACAAGATTTCCCTTATACAAATAGAAATGTAGTGCGTTCTCGGATTCATTCAATTAATTTATTGTGTGTGGGCTCCCCAACCCCCAAACACTTACAGTTTCTGTAAGCCATCCTGTTTGCTCAAGCAACATATTTATATTAAGTGACATATCAGTGACAGCCTGCATTTGCAGGCCAAGTACGTAGGTTTGCAAAAAGTAGTAAGATGTTTATTGTATAAGGGTTCTAAATAGCATGCTCATGTAACATCCACAGAAAAAAAGGAGAAAAATACCAACAAATTCTATGAAATCATGAAGTTAAATTAATGGCAATTAAGAAATCAAGATTTTCCTGTTTGGTGAAAACTCTCTTACATATACAGTATTTCAACAGCAGGTGTAAGACTGTGGCATTTCCTAAGATTTTGGAACCAAATTATTCCAAAAAAACACACATTGTGGCACCATAAAGATTGTCATATTTCTAAGTGACCTTTGTGGTTACATTCATTTCTATTGACATGAAAAGTCACTCTGAAATATAACCATTAATCTTAAAGGTGCAACAACGTTTTTGATTTTGATTTTACGTATTTTATTATTTTTGTCTTGCTAAGCTTGCCCAGACTAATACAGTTATTTCTTTGAAAACAACAACTATCTATATTGCTAACTAGAACCCTTCCTTATTTATAGCAATAAGAATATATCTTGCTGCAACAAGATCTCTAGGACGAGTACTGGAGAACCAGTACATAAAGCTTCTAATTATATAATGCTATTAACATTTTCGATTTATTCGTTCTTGATTTACCAAAACACTTAGGAAGTGAGCGTCTAAACACTTAGGAAGTGAGCATCTAACTCCTCCGTTCTCCATCACTATTTTCACTAGGTGAAGGCACTGTGTCTGCAGAGAAAAGGTTTCTACTCACAGGTAGGCTTTGCATGTGAGCAAAAACCCTGATTTTCCAGCATGATCCTCTCCTCTGCAGAGACACTGCTCTCCACATGGAGAAAGGAATGATGGAGAGGGGAGGAGGCAGGCACTTTGCTGAAGAAAACTGGGTAAATAATGAATGAATTGGACTTTGGAATGAGTAGGTTTGCATTATCCAACCCTTACCAGTGACCACTTTTTGTCTCGCACTACTATCCCTGACCCTGAATACAGGATACCTGGCAGGAGTGCTTCTGTACAATAACCATGATTATTCTGCCTAAATGTTTCCACAATCATGCCCTCAGCATCATCTAGAAGGAGCATAGACTGACTTCCATTAGTAAGATTAAGGCAGCAGGTGTACTTTGTATTAATGCGATCTCACAGTAGGTGTTTGGTTGAGTTTCCAAAATATTGCTATACCTCCTGCTTTGCAGGACACAATCCTTCATATTAAATTCAAGCAAGCTGCTGGTGGGACAAATGTTGAGGCATCTGCAGGCAATGCATCTTAGGTTACAGAAATGCTTTGTTTAAAGGAGTATTCCTTCCTCCCCATGTGATGTCCTTCCGTAGTCCTACTCTTCTTCTCCTTAGCCAAAAGGCCTGACTTCCTACCAATTGGAGATAAGCTTTTTTTCCTTGCCCAGCACTGAAAAAGGAAGAATTTGGGCTCTTCCAGATAGAAGATTTGTTCTCCTTAATGTACTCAGTTTTTAACTGGTGATACTGAAGGTTTTCCAGCCCTTCAAAGGACTTAAGTCTTGATTTGGTATTTTTTGTGATGGAATTCATGACTTTTAGGTATACATTATATGTCGTCCCTCAAAGTATGGTTTATTGTGGTTCAGCTTGTTCAGAATGGCAAGGGATTAGGGGCTTGTTTGTTTTTTACCAATTTATTAAAACCAAATTAAAAGTCCTTCCTTCTCCTCCATTTGGCTACTCACCTATGGCCGAGAGCCCAAGTAGCCAACTCACACCGTCTCTTCATACTTTGTACAGAGCACACAGCCCAACTACAGCACTGACAGAGGCAGAATGCCGGCCAGAAGCCAGTGAGGTTCAGCTGAAAAAGAACCTCAGATGCCTCTACCACCAACGATGGCTTTTCCTCAGCTTTGCTCCTTCAGTGCTGTCCACCCAGCCCTCCTGTTTTGCTTTTTGGGGTAGGACATATATATTTTTGCTCCAAGGTGATTAACAACCAATCAGATTATTTATTTATAATATTTCTATCCCACCTTTCTCCCCCAAAGGAACCCAATATAAAACTAATAAGACCTTTGAAAAGGAACAGCCGGGGGGGGGAGCTGAGGAGAATTTTTCCCCCATCTGAAAGGGTCTTCTCTCAGTGCTAGACAGGGAAAAACTGAGAAGGTGTGGGTTGGAAGGGTGGGTGGAGGTGTGCGTGCATGTGGAGAAAAAGGGAGGGAAGTGACTTTGCCCACTTTGGATATTGATCAGATCCTCTGCTTATTATCTGGGCCATGGGAGGGTTCCCACGTTGCAATCCAGCCCTCAGGTCAGAAAAGATTTCTTGCCTTTGCCCTGTGATCATGAAGGAGTCCAACAGCTGAAGCTTTTTCTATTTCTCTCTCATGATACACACAACCCAGACTGCTTTTCTGAAGTATTAATCCTGCTCACTCCAGCAACTCTGAGAGGATGTGGGTCAAGAAAGAGAAGAGGAGAAGCTGTTGGACTTTTAAAGAGGAAAGAAGAAAGTTCTGATGGTTGTTCAGAAAGTTCTGAGTTGCAACCTGGAAACCCTACCCTCTCAATGCTCGGCAGCCATAGGAAAACCCAAGAAAAATGTTTTAAATTACTTTTTCTCCAAACACAGAAAGTTTCACATGCTGTTAAGATAATGATAATTTAATGCTGAAACTGTATATCTAAACATACAAAAATACTGATGCCAGCTATTCTAAAAAGCTCACGGAGACATGCATCTGAACTGCAACAGAACAGGTTAAAGCTGGTTTTAGATCTACTGAAGAGCAAAAAAACAAAAACAAGAGAAGAGCAACAGGAAATGGAGTCTGCCAAGATCCCATTGTGTAAAACTCATAAATGAAGCACTTCAGGTTGCTGCTGTTTACTTAATAAAATTCAGCAAACTGTATGGCAGTTGTCCAACCACTGGATTGAGAACATTTTGGTTCCAAAATTTTCTCCTCTGGTAACATAAACCATAATCTTTATCTGAAAGCCACATTAAAATACTGAAAGCAACTTCATCGCTGTACTACAGAACACACTTTGTTTACCTGAGCTGCATTTTCAATTTACAGTATGCTTTCTAAAAGTTACCTTTTTTCCTAAAAAGCTTATTTTTAGTAAAGTCCTGCTATCCTATGAAATACACTTACCAAAAGAAGATGAAGAATATTTGAGTCTCCTTCGCTCTCTTGCTTCACTAGGCTTGCACTGATATCACACTGCAGCTAACTACAAACTAACTACTATATCTCTACTGCATGCACGCACATTCACATCAAACATACAAGGTTTTATATCTGGACCAGGGTTGATCATAGCCATTCGTCTGCAGCAGCAGTTGTGTCAACAATGAGCCTTTACTAGAGGAGTCTGTGACTATGTCTGTGACTCCTCTCATGCATGTTCACTGTTGACACAGCAGCCTGTGCACTATTCACAATTGACAATGCATTTTGTTAACAGTTTCAGTCTAGATATCCCAAGTCCACTTTTCCTGCCTAAGCTTCAGAACTACACCCTATGGCACATTTGGACTTCTCAGGATCCCCTTATGTCAAATCACATATTCAAAAACAGGGTGAGTTTCATCAGATCTCAACATAGGTCAAAATCCTCATCACCTTTGGCCCTTAGCCTCCACTTCTGATGTACAGGTAGAGATTCATGCTATTTAATATAGTTCTTTCATTGGCATGTAGTTTGACTCATGCAGTGTTTCCATGGACACTACTACCAAGATGAACCCCACCTTTGCAAAATTCAGCATTCCAATCTCATAAGAATTACATTTTGCCAATTCTACAAGCGATACAAAAATATACTGGTTTTTAGCACTGTTTTTCCCCTCCAACTCTTTGTTGAGGAACTAGAGAAGGGAAAGTGGGGGCAGACAGATACTTTGCGGCTAAACTAACCTCCAAAGAGATCCACTTCTGCAGCAGCAGTAGTAGCAGTAGCAGTAGCTGTATTTGTAGTAGATGCAGTTATTTCAGTAGATGTAGCAGTAGAAGCTGGGGTGGCCTCTGTTGCGAATGGATCTGAAATCTGTGGCTCAGAGGTAACACCGGAAAGCGCAGCCAAACTGTCTACATGTGTCCATATGTGAAGATCAAATGGAAAGAGTGAGCAGAACATAGGGAAGGGAGGAACCAAACTAATACTATATTGCAAAAAAGAGAGAGGAGCAAAAAGATGCAGGACTAGGCTAGTTTTACATTAAAAAAAGAATAATTGGAATAACTGGTTAGAAATCAAGCATTACTCACCCTCTCCCAAGAGGTCTGCAACATTGTCCATTAGAAGATAGCAATGTAAAGAAATAAGAGAGTTAACAGAACTGCCAGAGTCAACATGCACGCTATCCAGAAGTCATTCTCTCCCAATGTAGGACTATTTCAACTCAAGAGGATGCTGCTCTATTTTCCAGATATGCCAGTCGTACTTTGCATATGGTTTTATATGGTGCAGTCTCTTTTCCTTTTCCAAAGCTCCTAAAAACAAAGACTTCTTAAGTAATGGAGGCCTCCCTAAATCTACTTTATCCAACCCACAATTAATAATCAAGATTAATGTGTTGCATATCCTTAGCAAAGTATGTGCCATTTTATTTTTCATCACCACTGAGAAGAGGAAGTTAACGCACACAGTCATAAGTCCACTGACAGCAAACGTTACTGAACTCTGAAAATAACAATCAGAATGGAGCTAGCCATGTGCAACATAATAAACAAGATTACTGATAGAATATCATTTTGATCTTCTCTTTCCACAACCCAGCCCTTGAACAAATTATCTTTACACTCCTGAAAATACCTATTTTTAATCCTGTAATCTCCAAAAACATGGAAGCGGAGCCATTCAAAAGGCTCAAACTGGATACGCAACCCATTTTAATGCAAGCTGGAAGCTACCATTACAGAGTTATGATTTAACACCAATTGTGTAACAACTTCAAATTCCATAGTCCTCTGCTCTCGAGATTTCTACTGCCAATAACCTTGAAAAAGCCTCCGTACATTTTTGATTGCCTTAGTAACTGCAATTAGTGACCAGCCTTTCTTTAGCATTTGAAGCTCTTGCAGTGGGCAGAGATTGTCCCAGGAACTGCTCAACAGTCTCTCTGCATCTTTCTCAGCGTCAAAGTTATAAGGGCTACAAGCATGGCTGGGGTTTGCTTGGCCGCTTGAAGGAGAGATGTCCAGCATTTCCTCTCTCTATGTGGGTAAGTGGCTGGAGTAAAAAATTCCCCAATCGGTTTTCTTGGAGGTAGGGCCTCCAGGGCATTATTGCCTTCACTGTTCAGAAACAAGGCTTTCAGCAGCTGTTATCTCCAAAGAGCAAACTATTTAGAAGACATCACCAACGGTATTTATTTGGTAGCAAAACAACCTATACAGTCTGTCTGAAAACCTGTGAAGCTGTCAGACTCCTCACTTTTGATTTCCACTTAAAAAAACAAGCAAGCAACCAACTCACCTGCTCACTCCTAGAGAGATGCATCGTTAGCAAGGGTAGATTTGGGTAACCACAATTTTTTGCTTAGCTAGTAAGGCCAGCCAGCCATAAAACTAAAGACTAATACCGTCAAACAAAGCAAATGTTGCTTATGAGTTTCTTATAGATTTACATAATCTACCTAAACATTTTTCTTTTGCATTTTCTGAGAAGCCCCTGAAATCTGTTCATACTTAGATACAGTATTTTGGTCACTCTACAAATCACTGTCTACTGTAGTTTCTCTCTCTACAAGCCATTTAAAACAAGAGAGTGAGAAAAAAGGAGCAATTGCACAAGACAAACACTCGACCCCATTCCACTAACTGATCCATGGACTATGCAAACAGTGCACCAGAAGTTGAGAAACTAAACCGCTATTGTTGAAATTACAACTTTATGGGAAATGTTCAATACAGCTTTACTACCATCATGGACCTTCTTCTACATGAAACAAAGCTGACAGTTAGTCTCTACTCAGGCATTATGAAACATGGTGGCTTTATCATGCAAGTAAAAGAAATAATAACTCCACCCACTCCTTATGTGCTTAAATTAATAATTATAAAGTACCGTATTTTTCGCACCATAAGACACACTTTTTCCCCACAAAACAGGGGGGTGGAAAGTCTGTGCGTCTTATGGAGTGAAGAAAACAGATTATATTTTCCTGTTTTCTTCGCCTAAAAAATTGGTGCGTCTTATGGAAAGGTGCGTCTTATGTAGCGAAAAATACGGTAAGCACCTGCAACCATGTATATATCTAAGCAGCCAGCCCAACCAGTTGCTTTTAAAAAATTCAACAAAACATTTTTATCCCGCCTTTCTCCTTAAAAGGAGCCCAAGGCAGCTTACACCATTAAAAAGATAATATTTAAATGCTAAAAACACTAGGTATACAAATATTTTTTAAAAAAGAATTAAGCAAGTATTATATTAAAAATTGTAATAAAATCAATACTAAAACACATTTGAAACAGCAGTGCACAACAATCCATTCAAAAAACCCCTCACAGACCAACAGTTATTAAAGGAAAGCCTGCCCAAAGAGAAAGGTCTTTGCCTGCTTGCGGATGGAGCCAATCTAGTTTTCCTTGGGAGGGTTTTTTTTCTCTTTTTTTACAAATCAGAACACATGCTGCAGCAACCAGGAAGTGTCTGACAAATGTTGGTAGAACTTCAGATATCCCTGTCAGCGCAGGTGCTAAAAAGCCAGACCTTTTTTTACTACTGTCACCTCCGTCTGTTGTTTTCTAGGGAATGCTACATTTCTATTTCAAGGCCCAGATCTAGCTGCACCACTGAAGACAGCAGGAGAGGAAAGCCTCTCTAAGAAAGGATAAAAGACTTGTTTGTTCCATCCCCATCTCCTACTTTCCCATGCAGCTGATTCCTTTGACATTTAGAGCAGATTTGAAACTGATGCAAGTACAGTATTACCTTGGTTTACGAACGCCTCGGTTAACGTAATTTTCAGTTTACGAATGGAAATCCATAGAAAATAATGCCTTGGTTTACGCGTTTGTTTCCCCAGGATGCATTGTGCCTGGAGGTTCATAGTGCCACCCCTGTTCTTATGGCAAGCTGCATTTTGGTTTATGAAATTTTTGTATTACATAAGTTCTGTAGAACGCATTAAATCCATAAACTGAGGTCCTACTGTAGATCATGTGATCGCTGGAGGTTTATAGTGCCGCCCCCATTCCCTATGGCAAGCTGCATTTTGGTTCATGAATTTTTTGTATTACATAAGTTCCGTAGAACGCATTAAATCCGTAAACTGAGGTACTACTGTAGATCATGTGATCACTATCTGAGTACATAAGTATGTACATTCAACACACTTTTATGGTGGTTTGAAATTTCTCAAAAAGTGTCTGGGACAGAAGGAGATGGCACACCATTGTATTTGATATTCAGTGGCCCCTGTGACTCTAGTGGTCTGCTCTCACTGCTATTATTCAGCTGCCCCTTATCTCTCAGACACAATCTGAAATGCTGTCGGAAAAGTGCAGAATACATTTGATCACAGATGCATAATGTAGGACAAAACATGAACACTTGTTGCCTTGCTGTTCTTTTTCACTCAGATATTAAGCACAAAGATGACAGATATGAATAGTAGTGAAGTGAATGAAACAAATAAAAGCATATGCTTAATATCAATTCGATCTCTTATGGACGGCAAAATAAACCCACAATTTGACTGGAAACAAAATTAAGATACACATGTATAACCTTAAGCTTTGCGTTCTTATAGGTGGCAACACCAAGGCCTCCAAACATCACACCTACCTCAGGTTCTGTTAAACCCTCCAGGTGGCCCTGAAAAACTGACTCTGGTGGTGCCAACTGCATTCCTTCACCAGTGCCCTATTTAACCTCAGCTCTAACGATCATTATAGTCTGGAGGACTTCATGGGTTATAGTTATGGAAATTTTATTTAACGACTGATACAGTATCTCTGACAACAGTGATCATCAACAGCCATCTTCTTCCCTCATCTTAAAGGATTTTGAATGCACTTTCAGAAGCAAACATATCCTACAGGAATCCTCCATGTAGAAATGACATCTCAGCCTTTATAAAGAGAAAAAACCACACTTTCAGCAAATCCCATTCACCCTCCACAGGGAGCGCATGAACAGAAAAATACACTACTCCCCCACCCCTTATCCAAGAAACATGTCTGGCAGATGCACTGAAATGGAGAAGAAGAACTCCTGCACAGATTGCAGATGTGGCACCTAAAAGCAAGCGATCATTGATTGTTCTCAATGCCTTCTTCTCTTCTAACCACTTCCAAAATGCCCAGCAATGCAAGATAATTAAGATCTCACAATAGTGGGTGCCCCACTGCCATAGTTCTGAAAAAGTTTACTAGGCATAATGTTATGTTGCCTTAAACTCATCAAATAGAACACGACCCAAAAGCCATGTACCACTCTGTCAGGTACATTCTGTTTTTGCAATACCAGGCAGGAAGGAAAAAAAGAGAGGATAATAAAAATTTGGTTGTTCACAATACTATATATCTTCTGAGCTGTACTAGGCATGGTGGGCCATGAGCTATGGTGCCCTGATGAGTATAAAGTTTCAGGATTAACTGTGGTGAAACTATTTCTCTTTTGGGGGTCCCAGAGAACTTTGTAAACACCTTGGGGCAGGAAACTGGCCTCTTCTACCTTGTAAAACAACACACACCCTGACTTTGCTACCACAGTTACTGCTACTACCACTACTATGAAGAGAAATTACCATAACGTGGAAGCTGCATTTTAATTCTCAGCAAACAAAAGTAGCCACTTCAGTATTTTGAAATCCGAATTCCTCTTTGAATTAAAATACAGCTAAGAATTCTGCAGCACCTTAAAGACTAACATACTTATTTATATCACATGCTTTTATGGATTGGCTGATCATTAGGTGTATCAGATCGATGGATTTCGCCTTCATGTGGCTAAATTTTGTGTGTTCCATGGTAATAACTTCCAGTAGCTATGACAGCCATGGCAGACATGACAGTCTGAAGTGGGCCCTAATTCTTAAAACCTACCCCATAATGCATGCATTTTTAACCTTTAAAAATGTGATTCAAGATTTTAATATGTTTTCTTACAAGTGAACACAGCTACCCCACCAGAAGTTGTTTGAAGCAACTTGAATATGTTTATGTGATTAAGCAGTTAAAACACCACACGTCCCACAAACCTGTACTGTATTATAAATTTCTACCCACAAATACTATGTTTAGATTGTACCTAAAATTTACATCTCCTTAATGTGTTTTAAGTTCCCATATATTCCAAGCTTTAATGTTCTGAGTAGGTGCTAAAAAGCTTTTTGTGTTCTGGCAGCCTCCACTGTGCTTCCAAAGTTCTGCATATTTAATGACAATTTAAGGCACTTGAGTTTTAAGTGTCACATTCCTTCTACAGAAGAAGAGACTTAAAGCACAACAGTTAGAGATTCAGCCTTTTTGTTATAGGCAAATCAAATGTAAAATGAGAAAGCATTTCAGGATCTGAGCTTTACTTTTCTAGTGGTATGCTGATTAGCAGAAATGGAGAGCCATTTTGGATACAGCCAGAGATGGTAGACTTGCCAGAACAATAACAAAAATAAGTTTCACAACATGACGACACATGAAACAGGATTCACAATGAAGTAAATGAACACAATCAGGTGCTGAATTGGAATTGTTTTTCTTAATGTTTGTTGTGGACATGGTAAGTTTCAATGAAGCATTATGCTATTGAGGGATGGTAGATCTAACCCTCCCTCCCTCCCTCCCTTCCTTCCTTCCTTGAAACTCTACTCACTTATCTCAGATCATAACACTGTTCAAATAAATTTCCAGACAGCTTAACTCTATAAGGCTCTATAAGTTGCAGTGAAAGCTTCCAGCATTATACTATATAATTCTTTTTTTCGCCCAGGCACTCCCTTCTTCGAAATACAAGAAAAAAAATCTAATTTTGTGTGGCTTTTTCTTAAGGGATACCTGAAACATGCCTCCCAAGAGTGGCTGATGAGCTAGAAGTAAATAACTACTACCACTAAAAACAGAGAAGCTCTCCTGGATGAAGGATGCATCATCCTACCAGTGAGGATTGTATACTGAAAATAGGAAAGATGGTTGCAGTATACTAATCTTATTACAGCCTTTGGAGAATGAAGCCTGCTTCTCTGGTCACTAGGAGTAACATTAGTTTTTTTCGCCCTGCAGTCACCCCACTGGCCATTCCTGGTATTTCCATATAGCACAAGATCAGCCTAGAACTGACCAAACACAAAAGCTTTGAGAACAATTTTTTCATGTAATTTCAAACTAGCTAAACTGCAAAAGTAAAAAATAATAATAATGCTAATTTCTAAAAACTAGTTCTACTTCAAGCTTGCTTTGATTGTTGCAGTACAGTACTTTACTTTAAACCAGGGGTGTCCAACCTTTCACCTTCCCTGGGCCACATTAGAAGATGAAAATTTGGTTTGGGCCGCACATGAATTTGGTTTGGGCCACATGGGGGGCAGCTCCAGCCATCCTCCGCAGCCCTGCTCCAAGCGCCCTTACCGGCAGCTGTGATCTCAGACAGCAGAGGCTGCCAGCTTTGACTCCGGCGGCTTTATAGGGCCGGGAGGGGGGTCCACCTATTGACGGGGATGGCGCAATGCAGTCACGCAGCCCCCCTCTCCCCTCCCGTTCCTTCCTTCCTTCCCTCTCCCCCCCACTGTTGTGACGTGCCACAGCCGCATTCCGGCCGCAAGCGCCGGCAGTGTAACTTGAAACTTTGGAATTTCTTTTAAAATAAAAAATTGCACTGGGCCGCATTACGAGCCAACCTGGGCCACATGCAGCCCACTTTAAACCAACTCTACCAGAAGTTCCTGGGTCGGTTGGTTCCAACAGTGGTTGTGATACACATAGGAGAAATATAGGCTTTCTAAGATATTCCTAATAAAAAGTTTCCTATTATTTTTCAGTAGCAGCTTTGCCTGTTTAATACAACAGTTCTAACACACGTTATGAAAGATGAACTGATTCACAAAGCCTGTGGTGAGGCCACCACTGGGGGTGGAGGGAAGGAAGTCAAGTAGCAGCCAAGTAGTACAGTGAGGCAGACTGGAAAAAAAATAATGTTACCAATATGCAGGACTGGCATTCCTCTGAAAGATACTTAAGAGTTCTGAGTTTAGAAGGTTTACCTCCCCAGGACGTTGCCCCACCAGGTGCCGCTGAAGCTGCTTGTGCTGTAGTAGATGTGAAGTCTGGCTGGAGATCCAGTAGATCACTGGAGGGTTTGGAAGCACTATTGTGGAAATAAGACAGAAAAACCTCTGTGATAAAACCTACAACTGTAATTGTTAAATTCTGTACAGGGTGGAAACTAGTCTGTAAATGTTAACAATCAACAGTGAAGGCCAACTACAAGTATTTATGGTGGTACAGCTGTAAATCTGTTTCCTATAGTTGATTCATCTGCACCACGGCTGCTACAGGCAGCAGAGGCAGATAGACTTTGTGGTACACCTAGGTGAGGAACAGGCCTGATACTTCCCTTTCCTTCTTGCTTCTCCTGCCTCATAAAACTAGAAGCTAGAGTTGCATCAGTGCATGGCAGGACTGTGTAGGCCACATAGAAACCTTCAAGTTGTCCCCACTCATGCTTTACATTTAGCTGATTGAATCTGCAGCAGTTTCACCAAAGTTGTTCATCAAACCCTCAAAACTATGTGACAGAGGGAGAAACAACCCAAGATATCTGTAAAAGTGGCAAATTCCCCTTTATTATTTCTCTTTAAACCCAGCATTTTATTTTATGTACTGCCAAACTAACCTGACTGGAGCTGCTGTAGAAGATGTTGCAAAGAGATCAAGTGGAGGAGAAGTATCAACAGTTTTTGCCGGGGTAGAATTAGGAGATGTAACAGTTGTCGCTGGAGAAGACTGGACAAGAAAAAGTCATAAACACACAATGAAAAAAGGAATATCTTAAATTTTTCAGTAGCTGTTGCCTTAACAATTTCTTGTATTTTCCCCACAAACAAGAGATGAAAAGACCAAAAATCTAACCATCATAAAAATATTTTTCCCTGAAAGATCTGCCCTGCAACCTTAGCAGGACTCCTCCATTCTGAAACTATGAACATTACATATCATGAATCTTATTTAATTGAAGGGTATGTTTTCTGTATGAACTGCTATATTTGAACGAGGGTAAATATGGTTGAGGTACAAACATGATGTGGCTTGCAAAATAATAATAATAAAATAAATACTCCTCGGAATACTTAAGCACTTTTTTTAAAAAGAAGGAATTGTGTTTAAGGGTAAACGAGATGTGATGTGCAGGCCTGTATATGATTGCCATTTCACTTGCCAAATCAAGTGATTGCCATTTCTTTCAGAGTTCGGAAAAGTCCTATTTAAAATGCAGCATAATCAAGCAGAATTAATAAGTGTCGGGGGACACAAGAAGATGTTCAGGACCTTGTCTCAAAAGCCCATGGTGTACTTAAAGATCACCTGCAGCCCCTCCTTGTAGCCACTTTTAACACAATTTACATATTGCTACATAGTCATGACATGTTTTAACATCATGTCTCCCCCTCTCTACTGGAGACCCTGCCCTTCTTTCATACAAATTTTAGAAATAAGGGAAGCTGCTTCAGCTCTCAGCAGAGGTGGTGATGGTGGTAAAAGCACATCTTCCCCCATGACAGGATTCCAATCCGGAGCAAAAGAAAAAAATAACATAAAGAAGAGAAAAAATGCTGTTGAGCCTTGAAGATTAACTGCTACATTTTAATGTGATTTTTTGTGGAAAAGACCACTTTCTCAGACATGAGAAAGTGGACTTGTCCAGTCTTTCAAAAGCTCATTATAGCAATTAATTTGTAAGATGCTACAATATTTTTATCTTCTTTATTTTTTAAATTTCTTATTTTGTTTTGGCCCGACACAGTTACCTCTTCTAAAACTACAATTTGGAGCAAGACTCCAGAAGTCGCTATTTCTGAAAGAAAACCCACACTCTCTAAGCGCTTTAAGTCAAAGCAGGTGGTTTATATAGAAGTCTGACTTAAAAGTATTTCACAATCCCCTAAGCTGCTGAAAAACACTGCAGGTTTAAATTGCTTAATTATTTTGGCTAGTTAGTAAAAAAGAGAACACACACAGGCTTATATGGAAAAGGAAGGGACTAAATCAGGGTGATAAAGCCATTACTGTATTAACAGCAATTCAGAAGGCTGCTCTCAACTTGTCCCTTGAATTTTAGGTCTCTAGTTCACAACAACTAAATATAATTAGGGGATCAGCAGCTTTGCAAGATCTCAGATTTCCATGTCATAACAGATACTGGCATCCAGCCAACATCCACCTCAGAAAAGATCCCCTCAGCATATCTGAGGAGTCAAGGGAGCTCCTTTGTTATAGGAGGCTAGTGATAAAGGCATTCCCTCACCTTGTCAAGTTGTCAACTTTGTACAAGCTACAGAAGACTTGTCCTCTGAATACTAGATACCCCATTTAAAGGCTTAAAAACTGAATATATTTTTGCAGCCATTAACTTCATAATAGACAGAAGAAACTAAATCCTCCTTTGGACCCTTGAAAGAAAAATATCATTCCATGTTCACTTTCAGAATTTCACAGTCTGACACTTTAATACAGAAGTGTCCAAGGCAAATATTTCTGCACAAAGCTCTTTAGTTTCTCTCTCTGCCTGATTAGACATACTGTATGGTTTCAAACAAGAAAATACTGGGACTCTTGGTACAGAAGTATTAAAAATAATAAGTAAAGGGTGTCCTTATGTAATCCATGAAATCGATCTTTATCTATAACTGTAATTATGTTTGTTCAGGCTGTGAAAATAGCATTTCTGGATCTGATAAATGTCTTTATCGTGAAACAGTCCCAGACCCAAATCCTTTTGCCTAGTTAAGCTGGATGTTGTAAAGGAGGCCAATTGCACTGCGTTAAGAAATGACCACAGATGTTATCTTTTGCATACTGGGCTGTTTGGCTCAATATGCAACCGATAATGTCTAGAATGGTTTCTTAATTTGGTGCTATTTGCTTCCAAAATCACATCACTTTCATAGTAAAGCAAGAAGATTTTAGCCATAATCTACTAGAGAGGTTAAGGTTAAGGTTACCCTTGACAATTTTTGTCCAGTCATGTTCGACTCTAGGGGGCGGTGCTCATCCCCGTTTCCAAGCCATAGAGCCAGCGTTTGTCCAAAGACAATCTTCCGTGGTCACATGGCCAGGGCGACTTAGACACGGAATGCTGTTACCTTCCCACTGAGGGGGTCCCTATTTATCTACTCGCATTTACATGCTTTCGAACTGCTAGGTTGGCGAGGAGCTGGGACAAAGCGATGGGAGCTCCCTCCGTCGCGTGGATTCGATCTTACGACTGCTGGTCTTCCGACCCTGCAGCACAGGCTTCTACGGTTTAGCCCGCTGCGCCACCACATCCCTAGAGAGGACATTTTTTTAATTTAACATTGCCTAGAGAGGAGGCAACTTTAAATTTAACCGCTGAAAAGGCCAATATAAAATATATGTGTTCTCAAAGCATTTGGAATAGTGACAGTGCTCAAGAATTCTGTGTGTTCAAACTGGAAAGTAATCTCAGGAAAGGAATAGTTAAAATAGAGTGCTAGGAAGTTTAATATTTTCTGAATGTTTAGAACCTACTTTCAGTCATGACAATTGAAACTTATGTAGACCATATATTGTAAGTTAGGAGAGGTACAAATATCAATAAGCAAGAGTCCTCATAATTTAAGAAAGCAGCCAGTGGAGTGCCCTGGGATCTATACTGGGATTAGTAGTATTAAATATATTCACAAATGACTCAAAATCAGTGATGAGGATCCGTAACAGGGTTGGCAACTCTGGCACATCTAGCCACCTCTCTCCTTGTGATATTATTAAGTATATATTAAAACTTTTAGTTGTTGGGCAAACAAGCATTTACGATGAAGCTTTTAGTTAGCAGCCAAAGATGTGTGAATGAATATGATATTTTTTTTCCATATGAAAATACTTCCCGCCCATAGAAAATGAATCTGTCAACAAAGACAACTGAGGGCATCAAGAGATTCATTATTACAGTATTAGCAAAATAAAACATTCAATATTTACCTTGCTCAGAGGTGAAGGGGCACCAGAGCTAAAAGAATTAATGTAAAAAAATTCAAATGAAAAATTTTAGGAATATGTTAAGTACGCTTGAGTATAAGATCATAGTAGACAATGAACAACAACTGAGATTTGTGCATTTCTGAATTTATGCTCCCAAAGCCTGGAATATGAACTGTTAGGTCTTATAAAAGTGGAGTTGAACACTACAACATCTATAAGATAATTTATAATTTAATTTTAAAGGGCTGCTTATTCTACTAAAAGGAGGATACAATATTATATTTTTCCATGCCAAGTACAAAAAAATCCAGATCAAAACGGTTCCATAAAATAAGTCTCATCTATTAATGATTTCTCTCCCTAAATAACATTTAACCCACACTAACCAAACCAGAGTATTGATCAGTGCTTCTTTGACACTGACTAAAGGCTTTTTGTTCCAGAACATTTACAGTGGCCCTTCTGCATACTGCTACAAAAGAGTGTTCTTCAGTGGTAAATAGAGACCTATCTATTAAGCTAAAGAGCACAATTAGCTCAGAATGCATTAGAACTGTAACTATTTTTTTAAAGAAAAAACAAGGACAGCTATGCTGATCTCTAATTTTTTTAAAATTAAAATCCTGAATTGACCACAAGACAATGCTTTTATTGGGATCAACCATTTTAAAATGTTTCGATTTCCTTTTACCTGAATAATTCATAGACATTTCATTTTGTGAAGAAATAACCAGGTCTGACTGTATATTATGGGCAAAAGTGGCATTCAGGAAACTAGGTAACCTTATCCATTTACTAGAAGATATGTTAAAATATATTCGTGCATTACCATGAGTGTTTTTATTTACTTACCCCTCACTAAGTTGCAGAACAGCCATGTGCATAAACAAAAGGGAGGCACATACAAAGAAAGATTTGTTACTGCCAGTTTATGTTTATTTCTTCCTAAAGTAATAAACAAGGTACTTAAATATTTATCTATGCAAGAGTAGTACACATAGCACACAAAAAGTCTAGAAATAATTTATCTGCCAATTAATGCAGGACAAAAGAAGCCTGAATTTCCCAAAACAAATAATGTCAACACGAATGTGAGATCACAATCATGTCTTATTTAGTAAAAATGGACTTGTTTTGAAGTTTATTATATTTGATTACTATAATCTTAAATTGGATTACACTGTGACATTACAAACGCATGCAATGTCACAGCTTTTGGAGTCACCAGCAGAAAAAAGATGCCAAAAGGAAGACAAAAACAGTTACATTTATGATGCTCATAATTCCCGTGATAAAATGACTGCAATATTTAAACAAATATAATACTGAATCATGAATGCAAATAAATTGAGTAAGATGAATGTCTGGAACCGTATGGTTCAAGAAAATGGCAACTCAGAAGTTGGGTCAACCAGTAACTTGTTTGTGGTCTCGTGAGTCCCAAGATGTGGGTATCCTGCTGCCAGGTTACCTGCCTTGCATCTGGGCATCAGGAGTACAGGTAATAGGAAAAAGGCTAGCTGAGCTAGAGGATGTAGGGCCTTCTCTAGCGAACCAGGAATAGTTTTCATAGATGTAAGAGAAGGCTATAAGAGAAGCTTCAATCTGTGCTCCAGGAGCCTTCACTTCAACTTCACTCACCCACCACACCCTTGCACATACATAGCCATGTTGTTAAAAGTGCTGGACAGATCGATGGAGAGGAGAAAGACAATGTTGTTCACTATGTTTTGTAGTACCCAGATCTTGGGCACGGGAGGTGGGCGTTTTGCCATATCCCAGGCAAGAGATCTCCTCCAATGGGGATTGAGGGGTGGGGGACTGGGAGAGCTGCCACAGTTTTCCATAACTAGTGATGGTGGGTCTTCCCTTTAGTGGTCTTGTGCCCAGGGAGGTCTATACGAACAGCAGGTCACCAATCCTTTGCTGCCCAGAGTAGGGGGCTGGGAGAATGGCATCAGGTGGTAGACAGGTCACCCAGTGCTAGGATATTCTCCTTATACTGTACCAATAACGTTTTGCTCCATTCAGTCCAAGATGTGGCCTTTTATTACCCATCTACAAATTATTCTTCAACAAAATTGTTTAACTATGTACCGTATATTGGTGTGTGTCACTGGCAGATGGAAAGTGCACCAGGTGATCTTGCCTAGGCTTTCCTCCTCAAAGGCCACTGACAACAAGTGACAGAGCACACCATTTTATACACACCTTTGGTAGGCACTGTGGAAAGGGCAACTCACTAGTATAGATATCAGAAGTGCTTTACACTTGCTTAACACTGTTAATGGTGTTTATAACTACCACTATATATAGTAAAATGGAGTAGACGTACCTCTTGCTAGCATTTTGTCACATACATGCAATACCTAGTTTGAAAGGGACATTCTGAAACACAGTAGACTTCATTAAGGCTAGCCAACCTTCATGCATTTGTATGTACACAGAGGGACCTGGTGTAATTTTATGCTGTTATTACATCTGCTGGAAACAGGAAGTAGTTAGACTCTCTCAAGACATTATCCCTACATTAAAATGTCTGGGCAAGAATGAGGGAAAGTATCACAGGAGCAGCAATGGGAAGGCCAGCAATTTATGGGAATGGGGATTAATTATTACCCTGAACGTGCCGTTCATTTCTTGCTAGGCTATGACAAGTACTTCTTATGGGAAGAAGATATATATATATCTTCTTCCCATAAGAAGTATATATATTAAATTAAATGCCATTCTTCTGTGTGAAGACACTCAGAACAGTGCACACCACAATATTATTGCATATACAATGAATGCAACAATCATATAATAAAATTTTGCATAAATGTAAAAAAAATGCAAATACAACTAGCAACCTAAAGCCTACCAGACATCTGTTGATTTTACTACAATCTGAATGCTATAGAGCTTGTTTAGCTGCAAGCCTCAAAGTATAGCAAGTTGACATGTAAATCCATATACCTGTTTCCAGGTTTCTTTCCTTCCAAACTATTCAAATGCTGTTCAAGTGTCTCCATAAGACTACTTGGAGCCTAAGACAGATAAGGGAAAGAAACACTTGAAATGAAGGAAGAGGCAGAAAGGAAGAGGCAGGAAGGCTACCACTTTGGAACTTCAATATGAATCCCATATCATCTTCTCTGGGTTATTCATAATAATGCTCATGCCATACCCATAATTATAAGAAAGAATGTTACTTCCCTGCTGTTACCGAAACCATACCCTGTTTTCCCCAAAATAAGACCTAACCTGAAAATAAGCCTTAGTATGATTTTTCAGGATGCTCATAATATAAGCCCTACCCCCAAAATAATTTTTATTTATTTTTATTTATTTATTGTATTTATACCCCGCCTATCTAGTCATTTCGACCACTCTAGGCACCAGTTAAGTGAAACCCCGCCCTCCACCATTGTGCAGCATTGTGTAGCAATCAGAAGATGACATGACAGTCAAATTAAACATCCACTGAAAGTAAGCCTTAATGCATTTTTGGAGCAAAAATTAATATAAAACCCTGTCTTATTTTCAGGAAAACACAGTAGTTTTTAGCTAAAGTACAATAACCCTTTTGGTGTATTTCAGAAAATACTGGCTGGACACCATGCTTTTAAAAAGACTGTGAATATATTATAAATTAACAACAACACAGGCAATCACAGGTCAACGTAATCAATAACACTAAAATATGTATTTGCATGCATAATTTGTGCATTCAACCTAATTAGCTTAGTCATTTTTCAGCCTTCTGTGTAGAAACAGAATTTCAATAGAGGGCAGGGTGAAGCTGCTACTTCCCTTTTTTGATCTCTCACCTCCATTACCAGAATTGTAATTGAACACCTTTGGAGGCTACACTGAATTAACACAAGGCATACTAAATTGTAATCACAACATGTCCACTCACACATACTGACCAACAGTATGAGGGGGGATCAGACAGAAATATGATTCAATTATATGTTTTGTGCTGTACTAAACATTACAGGTCTATGAGTGCTGAAGAGGGTGGCAGAAGTTCTGTCTTTCTTACAATATCTTATTCAATATCAAATACCAGATTTATCCTACAGGTTTGAATCTTCCATAGAATTTCATAGAATTAATGGCCCACTTATTCTTTGGGCACCCAGGTTTTTTTTAAGGGACAGAAGAAAGTATTTTACTTTCCAAACTGTAGTTTCAAAATTAAATTATAAGTCTGGACACACAATATTAATACTGCTGCTACAGTTCAGTGCAATTTAATTGATCCCACCCAGATTTATCCAGGTTTTATAGTAACTTCCTGTTGTTGTTTAGTCGTTAAGTCGTGACCCCATGGACCAGATGACACTGTCCAACCATATTGTCCTCTGTCATCCCCTTCTCCTCTTGCCTTCACACTTTCCCAACATCAGAGTCTTTTCCAGGGAGTCTTCTCTTCTCATGAGATGGTCAAAGTATTGGAGCCTCAGCTTCAGGATCTGTCCTTCCAGTGAGCACTCAGGGTTGATTTCCTTCAGAATGGATAGGTTTGTTCTCCTTGCAGTCCAGGGGACTCTCAAGAGTCTCCTCCAGGACCACAATTCAAAAGCATCAATTTTTCGGCAGTCAGCCTTCTGTATGGTCCAGCTCTCACTTCCATACATAGCTACTGGAAAAACCATAGCTTTGACTATTCGGACTTTTGTTGGCAAGGTGATGTCTCAGCTTTTTAAGATGCTGTCAAAGTTTGTCATCGCTTTCCTCCCAAGAAGCAGGAGTCTTTTCATTTCATGGCTGCTGTCCCCATCTGCAGTGATCATGGAGCCCAAGAAAGTGAAATCTGTCACTGCCTCCATATCTTCCCCTTCTGTTTGCCCGGAGGTGATGGGACCGGTGGCCATGATCTTAGGTTTTTTTTTATGTTGCGCTTCAGACCATTTTTTGTGCTCTCCTCTTTCACCCTAAGTAACTTCCTACACCCTTTAAATATGCTCTTACTGTTGTTACAATGAGAAAAGAAAGTGAGTTCAGTAAGAACAATTAAGAGTGTCCTTAGCTACCCCAGGATAAAAATAGTGCCTAGATAAGGAGATTTCCATGAACTCAGTCACCAAGGAGAAAACCTCCAAAGGTTAAAAAAAAAAAAAGTAGACACGAACAATATTTTATTCAAGTTTACCAGTTCATCAATTGTATAGTCTTTAAAAGGAGACTCGCCATTATTATAATCACGTTTCGGATCACAAAGAACTCTGATCAACAATACCTAAGGTTTTTCTCATACATAAAATAGATTTACTCTGTGGTTAAACAGTTCATATGTAACTATGTGCAAAGCTTGCAGTCAAAAGTGAACTAGCAACACAAAGCTCTAAATCCTTGGAGATTCCCTTCTACACCAACAGTCCCAAACCCAAACAAAGAATTCTAGAGTGTTCAGTTGAACTACTGTATTTCATAGGACAGTATGTTAGTTCAGAAACAGTGGGCTGTGAAATTGTGAAAGTGGAAATAATCCATGTGTACTTGCTTCTAACCTGTATCATTTACAGACACACTCCTGGTCTTGCTTCCTGGAGGTCTTCCTGGGATGTAGACAATGTTTTCCATTCTTTTGTTTTGAAGAGGGATAAAGGTACCTTATGAATGGTAATGAGGTCCAACTTTACTCTTGAAAAATGTAATTCATTTCCACTATTAGGTGGGAAGATTTTTAAGAGTTCTACTAAGGAAATATATATTTAATGGCACTAGCACTCAAACTACAAACTCCAGCTTTGACTGCCAAAATCTTGATAGCAGCACTAAGGACTCTGCCAGAGTCCTTGGATAACCACTCTTAAAACAGCATGGCAGGGCTAGAGAGACCATGATCATGACTCACTGACTCACTGGTCAGAGTCTAAGTGAATATTTATACTTGCATCTGTGAACTGGCATAGGACGAGTGGCCAACAGCTGCTAATTATTTAGTCCCCAGATGTATGACTGGGCATGCAGCTAGGAATTTTATGGGAAAACATGTTAATTAATAACTATTTGCTGCTCTGAATGACACCAATGCATTTATGGAGGCGTAAATGTTCACTTTGCTTATTTACATACTGTATATCTATCCATACATTTTTCTTTACTTTCTGAAACAGTTTCTACATGTGTTTAAGCCTTACAAGAATTTGAAGTTAGGTGAAGACTTAGAAACTGCTTTCTCCCAGAATTCCAAGAACAAAGATAATGAGACAAAAAGATGTAAACAAAAAAACCCCATAAATATGTTGCCAAAAACTGAATTCTGCTAATTATTAGGATCCTATACCAGCAGCTGAATGAAAATGGGAATCTCTGTAAATCAAGACTATAAATCAAAATCACTCAATACTTGTGAGTACAAAATACTAGCATATTACACCCAGGCTTATCAAGATGATTCAGGAAGAGTAGTTAAATAGCATTCCATTATCACAAGGTGATACGTAACTACAACTGGGAGCCAAACAATATAATCTGTGCTGTCAACTAGCCTGCCATGGGACTACAGTACATATTTATGTCAATCAAGTTCACCACATTATACAATGATCAAAAAAGAAAACATGAAGGCATAGGACCAATAGCTAGTTTACTGAGAAGGCACCAGATTTAGCATGATTGGAAAGTACACACCTTCCAAGAGGAAGGGGTTTGGGGGTGGGGGTGGTGATGCATCTCAATTAAGCTGCCACCACCAGATCTCAATTTGATCCTCAACTGGATAGCTGCATCAGCTTTAAAGTCAGTCACAAAATCCTTAACAAAATATTGCAAAGATGAGGAGACAATTCAACATAAATAAAAGACCTTCAGAGGCGCTCTCCAATCTAACAAATTATTACTTTCACAAAGATTCAGTATTAATTTGTGTAAGGCATATAATCCTACTCAGATATACCTGGGAATTAAATTCCACCAAATTCTACTTCTGACTAGACATGCCCAGATTGCACTGTGTGCATGCATTTTTCACTTCACATTACTGATGGTGTTACTTTGTGCAGGTAAAATATGTCAACAGACAAATAGAGGAACTCAGAAGTAAGAATTAGAATTAAGAATTATTACAAACCAACAATCTATTTATTTTGCTAGCTCTCTTATGATTAAAAATGAACAGTGAAATCTGATTGGTGAAACTACTCATTTGATTGCACATATTAATAGAATAATTATGGAGTGGGAAGGGGCCTCTAAGGCCAATGAGTCCAACCATTTGCTTAATGCAGGAAACTAAATCAGAGTAAAACTAACAAATGGCTGTCTAACTTTCTTTCGAATGCATCCAGTGTTGGAGCGGTCGGCACCTTCTGAGATAACTGGTTCCACTGTCATACTGCTCTTGCCATTAGGAAGTTTTTCTTGATATTAAACCAAAAATCTGTCTTCCTAAAACTTGAACCCATTAAGAAATAAGAAAAGAGGAGGGGCAGATTGAAATCTGTTCTCAATCATCCCAGGGTACAGGACCTGTAATAATGGGCTCAAGTTATAGGAAGCCAGATTTCAGTTGAATATTGGGGAAAACTTTCTAGCTGTTAGAACAATATGACAATGGAACCTTGGAAGGTGGTGAGCACTGCAACATTGGAGGCATTCAAGAGAAAATTAAACAACTGTCAGGTATGATTCAATTCCTACATTGAGCAGGGAGTTAGACTCAATGGCCTGAGAGGCTCCTTCCAGCTCCATTATTCTATTATCAATATCTTAAAAAACCAATATAGTTTCTCAGTGGATAAGTATATGGGTCTGTCCTAATGGTTGCTCACTTGAGTGAGTCATAATATGAAAATGCTGTGCACGGACAAAAGGAAAACTAAGAAACAGCCACATGCAGATTCCTGATCTACAGTTGATAGACTAAATGTGCATCTCAAAAGCAAGGCACCCACAAGAAGTGACAACTGATTCTCACATACTATAGGGCAGAGGTCGTCAACCCCTGGTCCGCGGCATGGTGAAAGTCTGTGGCCTGAGCCAGACTGGGCTGCAGAGACAAACCTCCCCCCACGCATGCACTCCCCTCCCCACAGCTGCTTTGCACAAACACACATGTGCCAGTACTGGCGTGAGCACTCCCCCATCCCTTCACGCAAATGCCTGTGTGGGCATGCGTGCAGGTGCTCCTGCGCATGCGTGAGGGGTGGGGGAGCACTCATGCTGGCACTGGAGGGCGCTCCCCCACCGCTTTGTGTATGCACCCGAGAGTGTCCGCGCATTCCTGCGCAAGCATGGGGGGGTGCCCCACCTTCCTCAGAGGCTCAACCAGTCTGCGGTCCCAAAAAGGTTGGGGACCACTGTCATAGGGTACATAGATAAGTTTTTAAAATACTGTAAATAAATCCAAGCCTACAATGAATTCATCTGAGTGTGTTTCAGAACAAATACCTTACGCAAAATATTAAATCAGAATAAGCCATTTCAGGGCTTAGTTCTCACTTGTGGACATACTGTCAAAAATATTTGTTATTAAGAATAGTTACTAAGCAAAGAATCTTTAGTATCAAGAAGGCCAATACCAAGGTATTTCCAGTACTGAAGTACATTTGAGCTTCCCCATCTACCACAAAAATACAATGGGGAAAAAATAAGATGGAACACTTGCAGTGTTTCCTATAAATAATGTTTTTAAATTGTAACAGTAGTGAAAATCCAAGCACAGCTTGATAGCACTTTGTAGTTCTGTTCTAGATGCCATGGATATATTTATGCAGTCTCCAAACTATTACAAGAGTTGGCGGAGGCAACAGAGAGCTTACTGAACAGAAATAAAATAGGAACACTGCAAGAACAAAACCAATAAAAGAATCTAGATATTCCTATGAAGAACGTGATGAGCCATCTTTGACAATGACTCCTTTGGACTAACAAAAGGAAGTACAGTATATTTCTTAATATTAGTCTGCGGTTTTCTAGTTTTACAATTTTGCACAGCTCTTTAATTCACTAACTTGTTAAGTACTTTCCAAAAAGAGATGTAAAAGTGCCATACAAATGCTTAGCTGAAAAGTACGAAGTAGGATTTCACTTCAGTAAGACTTAATCTAAAAAAATTAAGAATACAATGATGTCCCGCATCACTTCAGTAAGACTTAATCTAAAAAAATTTAAGAATACAGTGATGTCCCGCATGATGATAATCCATTCCGGGAAAATCGCTGGTAAGCGAAATCATTGTCATGTGAAAAGCCTTTCCCCATTGGAATGCATTGAAACGTGTTTAACGAGTTCCAATAGGGAAATTACCTCGTCGTCCAGCGAAAATCACCCATGGGGAAGCCATTTTCCGAGCACCAATCAGCTGTTAAAATGGCTGCCCTGCGAAGCATGGGTCCGGAAAACACAGGGCAGCCATTTTGCGGAGCTGGAAAAATTGTCGTCTTGCGAACAAACGTTTCGCAAAGCGTGGACCTAGTCGATGTCCAGTGGAATTTATTTATTTATTTATTTATTTCCCCATAAGAATGACTGCTTTGCGAATCGCTATAGCAATTGCAAAAAGTCACTGTCCTGCGGATTCGTCGTACAGCAGGGTCATCATCTAGCGAGGTACCACTGTAGTTGAGAAATGCTGGAAAGACTTCATGTGCAAGAATCAGGCTTAATGAAGGAGGATAAGAACGCCACAATAATATTTTTAAAGTGCTTTTTCCCTAGATTAGATTTTTGTGAAACCATTTAGTATTTTTTTATGCAGCTGCACATTCAAAATGCAGTTCATATATATTATCATATAGACAAAAGCAATCCCTTGAATTAGGACAGTATAACCCCATATTAATAGGGATAAGAACCAAGAGGCAGCAACTTGCTTACAGTCATCCTGGGAACAGATTTGAAGTGAGGGCTTTTCTGCTCAAGTTCTTGATTGCCAAGCTACACCAACTCTGTGCTGATAACGTACCCTCTTGCTCAGATTTTCTTCGTATTATGGCAGCCCTAAACCAGTCTCTTATCTGGAGAGAAAAGTAACCCAGCAAAAGTGTTGCTCTGAACTAGATTACAGCATGGAATCAGAACTTTAAAGACATCCTCTCCCAGATGCACTACTCACACTTTCAACTTTAAAAATCAGTCTGTACCTCTGAAAGGGAGAGGAAATTGGCGGCCTTTTCATTATATATTTCTAAATTAAATATGACCTTAAAAATTACATTTCTCTTCTTGGAATTAAAAAAAAAAGAAATAGATCAACAATTAACATGGCTGATTTCCTGACTTTGAAAAGTAACGCCATTAGGTTGCATGCTAAATTTTGCTACCATTTCCACCCATGAGGTCAAATAAATCGGTAGAACCTACTTGTGTGAGATCCGGAATGTCTCCTTTGTCGATTCCAACTTGCTGTGGATAAAGAAAAACAAAAAAGTTTCAGAATGGGTTTTTATGTCATATAAATCTTAAAAAGTTGACAGGCTTAATTTGATTGCTGCACCTAAGAAATAATTATCTCATTTATGGGCTATGACAAGGTCTATTTGTAATTATTACTTCTTTCTTCACATGTAGATGTTCTTTAAGAGCTGTGTATTTCTAGGACACATAGGCTGAAATTCTGTTACAGTGGACCCTCTACTTAAGGAATTAATCTGTATTGGAATGGTGGCTGCAAGTCGAAAAGTCTGTAAGTCGAATCTCCATTGACCTACAATGCACTGAAAACCGATTAATCCCATAACCAGTGGTTTTTATTCTATCTTTATTCCATTTTGTTTTTTTTTCTGGTCTGTAAGTCGATTCTCTGGCTGCAAGTCGAATCTAAATTTTGCAGCCAGAGAAGTCTGTAACTCGAAAAGCCTGTAAGTCGAGCCGTCTGTAAGTCGAGGGTCCACTGTACATAGTTATGCGCAAGTCATAACTTTTCAAAGCAAAATGCAGTAAATTAAGAAATCTCCATAGACATCATCTGTTGTGCACTAAGTAGTGTGACTCAGCATGCAATGGATAATGCCTATAAAAATTTCTTAACATGGCAAATTTCTTCCAAAAATCATGCCTTTTGCATAACCACCCAGCAGGATTTCAGCCACAGTATAATATGGAGCATTGTTCATTTAGAAGAGCTACTGTGAAAATTTATAAGTCCACCCCAAACACACTAATGATGATCTCAGAACTGCAGAGCTAGAAGGGACCCCTATGGATCATCAACTCCAGCCCCAGTCAAGGAGGCACAGTGGGGAATTGAACTCCCAGCCTCTGGCTCCACGCATGCACACATGAATGTGCACACGCTCTTTTATGCATAGAGCATGTCTCATACTTTGCACACTTCCTCGCTAATCCATGCAAAAGAATTCCTTAGATAAGAAATCTCGCATTTACTTAACATGGAGCGTTCCCTAATTCCCTGAATACTGAAACTGCATTTCTATCAGAAAGGAGAAATGGGACAAAAGCATATGTATATTGTATTTCAACTTATGGGAAGGGAAGAGGAACAAAGATTCACTAAACACTCTGCTCAAGCTAGATGATGTTGCCAGCTTCCCATCCAAAGACTAGAGTGAATCTCCTCCACCTCAGATTCCATCTTAATTCTCTGTCCCCATTCCCCATACAGAGGGAAGGGGGAGGAAGAACAAAGGGTTCTCAACCAGTTCCTGCAGGTGCTGGCTGACAGTGATCAGCTTCAGCATCCATCCTGAGGAGAGGAGCAGTGAAAGATTCTTACAAGACAGCTTGCCCCTGCATCACAGAGCTTAAATTCCCCACTGCAGTACATAGACTTAATCACTGATGTCAGAAGCAGACTTTACAGATAGACTGGAAGAGGGAAATTCTTCATTAATGTAAATGACTGTTACAGTATGAACTTTTCTGTCATTACGCAAATGAGCTTCTTTCTTTAGTGACTGACATCAGAGCATAACCATGGAACTCCTCCGAAGTCTCATTTCACAAAAGACATCCTCAGTCAATCTGAAACATCTGTGTGCTTTCAGCTCTAATTATGGGCTATCTCCAACATCTGTTTCTTACCTGACATAAGTCTGTTACATCCTGTTATAGATTACATGTACTGTATACTATGATCTTTAAAATGCTTGCGCTACCAGTGCTTTCTCCACATAGTCTAGGGATCTCCACTTGTGAAAATGCATTTCAGAAACAAGATGCCTCTCTCCTTACCCCTCTCTTCCTCTCTCTCTCTTTTAAAAGTCAGCACAATTTAACTATATGCAACGTGGTCTCTGTGTCTTCAGCCGAGGAAGTAACTGAGGAATACAAATCTCAGTGTGCACAGTTAGTTGGCAATAAGTTTCAGCAACTGTTTCCTTTAGGAACACAATCCATTTTAAGGTGGATTATGAATACAAAAAGCAAACACACAACACTTCAAGTTATGTCTTTCACATTCGAATGAAATTCTGACTGGCTAACTTCTTTGATTAAACTCAGCAAGTAGCAGAATAATTATAGTTCATTTATGTATTCTGTATACGAATTGGACACGCACACACTCAACAGTTAGTATTTGATAGAAAGATTATACTTTTAAAGCACGAAGAAATAAGTTACTTAGGCCACTGTGGAAGTTTCATTTACCTCTGCTACTTTCAGGAATTCTGATACTCTTGTCATTCTCGTCAGAAACCTTTTGTAGATTTCAAGGGCATCTTTGCATTGTCCCTTCTTCATTTCAAAAAACTTCTCTGAAAGAAATGTGATAATTTTTAACCTTCAAAAGCATTACTGTCATTTATAAATCAATCTTCATTCAAAATGAAATGTCAAAAATGAATTTTAAAAAAGGAGAAGAGACTCCAATACTCGAATTCTTAATGCCAGAATCTTGTTGGGAAGCTATCATGCTTATACCTAAAGTTGTAGAAATGGCTGTGGTACCTGCTGTACAACCTGACAGCTTGCCAAATAGCTGCAACTACTTCCAGAACCTTACTTCCATGAATGGTAAAGCTCAACAAAATGCCAAACGTAAAGTGTAGTAGTGACTTCATATCACCAAGACTGCTTTTTCTCTGTCACCCTAGGGCAGACCTGGGCAAAGTGTGGCCCGAGGGCCACATACGGCCCGCGAGCTGCTCCTGTCCAGCCTGTGGACAGTTTTGAACATAAAAACCATTTATAGTTTTTTGTCTAAAGTTGATCATTTGCTTATCTTTAACATACCGCAAAAAACTCTTTAGTATTCGTGAAGATTAACAAGTTTAAAATAAGAACAATCATAACATCACTTTCATTTTATTTTTATGTAAAATTGGTTCGGCCCCCGAACACAGTTCAGATTTTTCATGTGCCCCCCTATAGAAATTAATTGCCCACCCCTGCCCTAGGAAGTTCTGTGGAGGCCACCATTTTCTGTCTGAACCCATACGAAGTATGCAAGCAGAAAATGGGATTGTTAATGTATTGTGTTTTTTTCTGTTACATTCTTTTTCCTCTTTTCTCTTGCCTGAACTGAAAACCCTGGAAAACGCATCTAGAAGATTAATGATAAAAATAAAACTCCACAAAAGTTTGGCCAACTCAGTAAGTTTTGGGCTCCCTCGCTGGCAGTATTCCTTCTAGTCTTATTGAGGTAAAGGGACATGTACGACAATAAGTAACTACACATAAGTTGTAAGGATCAGTATTAACCCAGAGACTTATGTATCAAACAGTTTACTTTAAATATATATATATATATATATTGTCAAAGCTGGGATTCAAACCTTGAACAAGTGGATGGATTACAGAGTCATAAAGGAATACTGAATAATTTCTAGTCATGCAAGTAATGGCTGCCATTAGTTCTGATCAGTAACTGGAGGCAATAGTAGAGACTTCCTATTTGTCCTAGCGTGCTGACGGCATGGCTTGCCAAACAGCCTCCGTGGGCCATAGGTTCCCCTCCTTGCTTTATATCCAAAACAGGGATGCTAATCTGTGTCAGTGATTATCAGAATACATGTAAACATCATGAAGAAGCAACCACATATACATGGTTAATTTTCATAACACAGCACACCTCGGACAGGCTAGAAGGTACCCTGCAGTACATTGTTCATTATATTCTACATCAGGCAGAATCTATATATACTTGAAGTTAAGGCTTCTCAAAGGACATCCACACATGCCTGATTTGTAAGGTAAATTCTTCCTAATACAGCCAACACAGCTCACAACTCATTTTGTATATGGGTAACATAGTGATGGATTTAAGAGAGTGTCATGTTAGTCTATACTAGGTTTAAAAATCAACACTGTCCCTTCTTCACAAACAAGATTGATTTTCAGAATTATTGTTCTGTCAGCAGCCATGTAATTTTTAAAATATGCCTCACTAAGTTACTTACCTAATAAGTTAATAACCCCATCATTGTAACAAGCAAACAGCTTGATGAGATCTTTGAATAGAAGCATAAATGCAGCATTTATAACCCCATTTGTCAATTCATTTGGATGAACCTACACAAAAATAAGAACCCATAGTTTATTTGCTGTCACTTACAACATTTGGTGCAAGGTTTTCTTTCAACATAATACAGAATGCTAACAATCACATACATTGTTCAGACACACTTAGGACTGAAAGTTTACACCTGTTTTAATGAAGTGACAAATTATGCCCCCGAAGATGAAAAAAGGTCTGCAATAAATGTTAACTACAAAGACCTCAGCTCATTACACTTGGGACAGAACAGAGAAAGGAACTTCATCTTTGGTTTCTAGCAACAGCAAAGTCCTGTCTCTTTCTCTCCTGTGAAAAAAATAAGAGATTGGAAAAAGGAAACCAGATGTAGTCTGCAGTTTCCTGCAGAATATAATAATATGTGTAATAATATGTGTAATGCACACTACACTGATAGTTGCATGCTGCTAAAGTTTAACATGGACTTATGGTGGACCAAAAAGTATTGACCAAAAGCTTTTCTGTGTAATTCAACACACCGTTGTAAACTACTTATTCTTTCTGTAGCCTGGAGAAGCCTATCAAAGAAACAAAAACAAAAAAAACACCCAGCCAGCCAACCAAGAAAGAGCAAGAGAGACAGAGAGGAACTTGGTGTAAGCCCAGTGGCCTGAAGTGAGGTTTTATTTTTTCCTATATCAGAGATCCCAGGTGAAAACTTATTTTGCTTTTATCACAGATATAAAGAAATATTAAATACCTACATCAAATTCAAGAAGAGCATCTATTTGTCCCTGTAATATAGGCATGCTCTTCAGTAATTTTTCTGGCACCATGGTCCTCATCACACCATCAGCCCTGCAGAGACACAAAAAAACAAAAAGTACACCAAAAACAACCACACAGGCATTGTTTAGTAATCAGGAAAGAAATTAAAGCATTGAAGTTAGGTTTTACATTAACATTAGTCAAAACTTCATTCTTGAAAAGAATTATTAAGTGTCTCACTACTCAGTAACAAAAACCTATGGTTTCAGGGGAAAGATGGCTAAGTTCACTGACATCAGCAAAATCAAGAGCTGTCAACAACCAGAACACTTCTTCATGTCACCATGTCTCCATGTCCTGCTCGCACTCCAATCAGATGCAGTTATACGTGTATATTTTTTTGCCTCTATTTGGTTACGTAACATACACAGAGCATATAAATTGAAATTTTCAAACTAGTTTCTTCTTAGATTCTTTGATTATTCCACTTGCTTATCAGCAACTAATAAGCAAAGACTAATCAATGATCTTACTGCACTCCTACGTGCACATTTTCTTTCTGTTACCTATATTTTATTCAAAATTAAATTCAATTTTATCAAAGGCTGCAATCCAGTGTATATTTGAATTTAGTCATCTAAATAGAAGACTCCACTGAATGGAACAATTTTATTTATTAACTACACCTTCATAGGATGAGGTTATAAAACTAGGTTTAAACATCAGCTGATGGGTTTTTAAAGTTGCTGTGGTTGCTTCACAAGCCCACAGCAAATGAGAAACAAATAATACACAGTTTCTGTTTAATAGAAAACATGGCATCTATCATATGCTGCAAAATTTAATAATGGCATGCAAAAAGCTATCTGGGCTGGGGAAGGTCAGATACTTGCAATCTTTACACAATACCTGGAGCATTGTAGTTACTAACATGGCACTTGGGATAGCATCTATATCTACTATTCTTGGGGTTAGAACAGATCATGTCTCAACCTAGCATGCTGGAAATAGGAAGCACACAATAAATGTAAGCCTCAAAGTTTTGCTCTCTTTTCCTATTTCAACTGATAATCAGGTTTTGATCAACCCTTCAAAAATGTTGGGAATTCAATCTCAATTGAAAAATCCATTACAAGATAAGGATGCATTATTTGATGACTTGGTCATCAAATTGTGCATGGTCTTCAGGAGCAGTTTATCAAGATAAGATAGGCATCCTAAATGGCTACAGGGGAATTGTAATAAAACAGGGGCTCCCACTTTGCATAAGCTTCCTTCATTCTATTACAACATATGGTGAGATGCCAATGTGTTGCAAATTTCCATCCTGAAAATCAGCCACTAATGCAGTGAAGTGAGGACAGGTGAATTCAACAGCATTTTATTACACAAAACATTACCAGGGAAAAGGAGAGACATGGGGGCTGCTACATTCAGTCACAACCATATGCTTCCATTGAGCAACTGATTGTAGAGACGGGCATGGTCTGCCAGTTTGGCAGTTCATAATGGTTCGTTCTTTGGAGACAAAGGGGTTCCACAGGCAGCCTGGCTTCTTTCCCCTGCCTCCTCCAGTGGGTGCCTACTCAGAGGAAGAAGTGGGGCAAGGAAGCCCAGGACGCAGACTCTGATTGAGCAGCTGCCAGAGGAAGTGGGAGAGAGAAGCCAGGGTGCCCATGGAACACCTCTGTGTCCAAAGAATGAACCATTACAAACTGTGATAGACAGTTCATGCCTATCTCTAATCACATGTCTTTTATTATTTGTCTCCACTCCAGTTGCTTCTTAGGGTTATTGTTGTTTGACCGTTAAATATAAGATCTTCAAACAGATATAGACACTGCCTTTATAACCAGTTTTTAGCTCTAAGGTAGAGTTTATTTTTTTAAAAAAGAAGAAGAATACTGTACAGATGGCTTTGCCCTGTCAGCTTATAAAGTCTTTGTAGACACAGGATTGGGAAAACAATGTAAGCAGTTCAGTTTAACACACCCACTTTTAGCTCAGATTTTTATTCAGAATTTAACACAGAACAATCTATGTACAGAATAGGACACACATTAGTATCTTCCTAATGCCTAGCAACACTTAGAATTTAAACAACTATAGCATTGTTCACTATAAAAAGGTAAAGGTTAAGGTTCCCCTTGACAATTTTTGTCCAGTCGTGTTCGACTCTAGGGGGCGGTGCTCATCCCCATTTCTAAGCCATAGAGCCAGCGTTTTGCCTGAAGACAATATTCCGTGGTCACATGGCCAGTGCGACTTAGACACGGAACACTGTTACCTTCCCACCAAGGTGGTCCCTATTAATCTACTCACATTTGCATGCTTTCGAACCTCTAGGTTGGCGGGAGCTGGGACAAGTGACGGGTGCTCACTCCGTCACATGGATTCGATCTTACGGCTGCTTGGTCTTCTGACCCTGCAGCACAGGCTTCTGCAGTTTAGCCCACAGCACCACCATGTCCCTCATTGTTCACTATACAATTATACAATTTATACCGTTTTCCTTTCTTTTCAAATAATTTAATACTATTTATGTGAAAGGCAAACAAACGTTATGGGTCCAATCCACATTGTACTATATTGTGAGTAAACCCACTGAACTCAATAACTACTATAAGACAAAATCTAATGTTACGACAAACCCATTGATATGGGACTCAAGTAAGTGGTAACGGACAAGTCCTATCCATTTCAAGGGGTTTACCCTGGCTGGGGCTAATATTTGATTTAACTCACTGAAAGAACAAATTAAACTTCCATTTATTAAAGTGAGTCTGCTTCAGGCCTGACTCAGCCTGGTTCCAAGGCTCTGCCTGTTTTTTGATTAAGATCTTACAGAAGATTTGTGAAAGCTCACAAGCTTTAATTCCATTCTTAATAACCTTCATAAATTGAATAACAGGGCAGTGTTAGTAATAATTACAACAAAATGTAGGCTATCACATTAGCACCAATAGTATATTATTCTATAAGGACTGCTTACCCTTTCTTCACTCTTGCAAAATCAAATGCCATTTGTCTGTAGGAAAATGCTTTTTCATTCAAGTATCTACTGTAGCGCCTGATAAAGGTGGACATGTCATATCCTAGAAAAAGATGCCATAATCTGTTGAACAATTTTTAACCCATTAATCTTTAACAACGGAATGAAAGAATTGCAGCGTTCCAGATTTCAGCAATATTTTCTAAAACCATTTCTCCTATTCTAGGAAGAGGAAACAAAAAACAAATCATCTACATATACCAGTCTATGGACAGACTGAAAAAATTATTTGTGAGTCATATTACAGAGTTACAAAAAGAAAAAAATGAGCCTGTTTCATTTTGGGTGACTTAGCACTATATTAGTGTATAAATATTATGTCAAACTAATATTTTGCTAATTACGTATAATGGGTTATATTGATAAGCCCCTGTGGGCAGTAACTGTCCTGCTCATCTTAACAGCCACACGTCACTCTATGTTACTCTGCTGAATGTGTGCTGATGTTCCGTGTTATCAAATTTCATTACCTCATTATCCAGTTCTGTTATCAGTATCCAACTACTGTACAACAAATTAAGAGATTCTAGGCACTTTATACATCAGCATACAGAGAACATGCATTCAAGCCATTTTGGTTCTTTGGATGTCAACAAGACTGAGTTAATTTACTTGCTTTATGGAGCTATACTGGAAAGTAATTAATATTCAAAGATGGGGTGGACACATTCTGATCCTCCTTATCTTGTTAGGTTGAAGTTGCTGTCACTTGTTAGTGCTCAAGGGAGTTGCATTCCAACATGCAATCAGTCAAGACATGCTCACTGTACTTGCTAAATACTATTTCAGGCAAGACATGAAGAAATTGTACTAGCAGACCCAGAAAAAAGCCAAATAAACATGCAATGGAAGCTGAAGAATATCTGTCCATTCTGTTCTTAAAAGCCTCTAGTGTCCTTTGTATCCAATACCTTTCTTTGACGTCTAGGTATACCAAGAATTAAGTCATAAAACTTATGTTGTTGTCATTCTTGTTGTTTTAACTTATATACTGCCCCACAGTGCTGGAGCACTCTCTGAGTGGTTTACAATATAATTATGCAAACAACAACTTGCCCCCTCAGTGAGTTGGGTACTTGTTTTACCAACCTCAGAAGGGTGGAAGGCCAAGTCAACCTCGAGCCGGCGACCTGATCCCAACCTCAGAAGGATGGAAGGCCAAGTCAACCTCGAGCCGGTGACCTGATCTATCAAGATCGAACTCAGGCCAAGAGCAGAGGCTTGACTGCAGTACTATAGTTTAACCTCTGCACCACAGGACTCCTACATATGAAGGCTGTCATTATCATACAACATTTGAAAGTTTCTATTATAGAAATGTTATTATTTATTTGTAGGTGTGAGCAAAATGCAGCTCTCTAAATGCTGTTGGAATCCAACTCCCAGAAAGCCCAATCACTGACAATGCTGGCTAGCGTGGGTGGGATTTTGCAGCCCGGCAGTGTCACAAGAACTTTTGCCTTTCCCTGATTTATATGATGCCATCAAAGTTCACACGGCTAGTTAAGTTCCCAGAGAAGAGAAAACAGTTCCCTGCTCCCAAGGAGATCACAATATGTAATAGCCAAGGGTGAAGACAACAAAAGGAATGATATACAGACAATGCCAGACAAATGTCCTTAATACACTTACTACATATGTTTGTTCTAAAAATAATGTATTAAAAATCATGTAAGGCTACAACTGAAATAAAAGGATTAGGAAGAAAGGAATAGTTTGGATTTAGAGATGGGCACGAAAAGCTTCATCCCCGTTTGTAAAGGTAACAGCGTTGGTGTTGCTGCTCCTTTCCCCTGACTCCTCAGTCAATCAGCTGCTCACCAGGCTCAGCTTGCTTGCTTTTTCCAACTCATCAGCTAGTCTCCCAATGAGGAGAAAATGCACAGACTTCTCTGCCCCACTCTTTTGTCTGAGTGGGAAATCAGCGGGGGGGGGGGCGCACAGAAGCCTGAACTGTTGCTGGGACTGGAAGATGAGTTGAAGAGGTGCAGGAAGCTATCAGCATGCTGGGCCTGGTGAGCGGTGGATGGAGCCAGAGAAGGAGGGGGGAAGGAAACAGCAGCCCCTGTGCTGCCACCACCCTGACAAACAGGGATGAACCACTTTGGGCCCATGTCTATTTGGATTTCAAGTTCCCTTGAAATTCCACTATAAAGCTTTCCAATAATTTCTTTCCCAAACTTAAGACTTCAGTGTGAAAAGCTGTTACCGTCGAAACAGCTTAACATGAACGCTCATCAACAACCAGGGAAAAGGATCCATTGTTGAAAGGGGGGCAGCGGGGGGGGGCAAGTGAGGGTAGGGAGGATCTTGTTTTACTAAAGTAACCTACAAACTCTGGATAAAAACTGATACTGGACGGAAGACAGAACACAGATAGCATTGCCCCTCCAGCAGTTCCTATGTCTCTAGATCCATCACAGCTGGGTACTCATGCAGCATAGGTGCAATGGGGTTTGACACAACGTGATAAAGGAAATCAGAGAGGGGCCCTATAAAGCGGTAGCCTTTTAGGATTCAGCGACTAAGCACATAGTTCCAGGCTTTAGTACCCATCATCTCTGTATGGGGTTCCTTGTTAACACCTTTGGAGAAAAGGATAGAATGCTGCCTTTTTACAAAGACTAGGAAAAAAAATCCAGCTTAGAAAGTTCTCCTTTTCTCTTTCCTTTTGCATTACTAGGAAGGGGATCATCAAGTAGTACCATTACTTCTTTCCTTTCTTATATATTAAGGCTGTCTCCTATGGGGGGGGACCCATGGCCCCTACAATTGCCAAATTCACAAACTGAACACACCCGCAAATGCAGGATGAGCAAATGGCAAACAATGTTATGAAAGTCTCGAGAGATGCAGGACAGCCTACCAATTTTTTTTAAATGATCTGAAATTTAATTTACTAAATTAAATTTCAAATGATAGCAGAATGTTATGAGAATCATTTTAGAGATATTGACGTGAGCAAAGTGCAGAGTTCAAAATACTGCAGTTTTATTCAAGATCGCACCTCCACTTACTGAATCTGCTTATCAACTACTTTACCTTCTAATTTTTTTCTGAAATGTGTTGAAGAGACTAATTAGGGCTCGAGCACACAAGCCAAAATAATCATTTTATTTTCACTCCAGTTTGGAATCGATGCATTTTAAAAGGCGGTCATGTGTTGTATATATTGGTGAATCCATTCGCATTGTTGTGAAAAGAATAGCTTCATTTCCAATTATTTGAACTATTTTAGCAGACTATGCTGGGCAAGTATCTGAAATAGATTCCTTTATCTTGATGATTCCTGGGCAATCCTGGCCCCACCACTCCCTTAAAAAAAGAAATTAAACTTTATTGATATATTGATAAAGTGTTACAAGTTTAAAGCCCAAATTACAGCCCTAAAGTGCTTTATCAATATACCTGTTGAGAATTTTTTAAAATAATAATAATAATAATATTAGGACAGTGGCCATCCAGAGAAGGGAGATGGGGTAAGGCTGTCTTTTTTGTGGGCAATGTATTCCTGTTGTTTTTGTGGCAGCTGCTGCTATGATAAGAGATTCACTGAAATGCCTTAAAAAAAATTAGGGGAAACCTGACCCCTTTGCAAGGTAAATTAATCGACATTCACACATGAAGAATTGAAATAAATTGAATCAATACATGATTGAACCCTAAATTGAAATTCTTGCAGATCTGAATCAAAAGGACTAGCAAAACCTTCATAGTTTCTTTCTCCTACTGAGGGAGGGATACATACAGAGGAAAATAAGTTTCTTCAGAAAGTGTCTGACATCATTTACAAATATTTAAAACTGGTTAATTTTCAGGTGCATTACCTAATTGTTTTAGACATCTCCATTTTAAAGGAGGGCTAACAAAGTGAGTCTACACTCTCTTTTAAAATTGTAGCAAGTGCAGTAGGCATTACTTGTTTATTTATCTGTTGAATTTCTATATCACCTGATTAGTGAAAAAATACCACTCCAGGCACTGTACATGATAAAACAACACTTTAGGCTCCCTAGTGCAATTTTCTACTGTGGAAAAGCTCAGCACTAGCTGCCAATTAGTTCATGAAGTTACTTTTCATTTATTGCAACCATAAACATTTCAAAAACAGCTGAGAGAGACCACCTTAGCTTACCCTGGTCTCGCTATTGTGTGACAGAGACCCTGCTTCCTGTACTTCCTGTACTTCCAATAAAGTTTCTTTTGTTGTGGCCCAGTGCAGGACCTTCTGTATTTTGTTGAATAATCTCTGTACAAAGAGTTTGAGGGTGTGTGTGGCATCTTGTGTGTTTCTGCCATCATTTGTCAGGGATTTTCTTGACTGCTACCCTAGTCAGTTGTCTCTAGGGCTTTTAATGATTTTAATGAAATATGGCAATTCTTTATTGTTATATCACTTGCTTTACTGTCTTATTACTGCACCTTCTTCATCTTCTGTTTTTTAAATTCTAAATCACTTTGAGATTTTTTTAAAATGAAAAGTGATATGAACTCTCTTCAATAATCATAATGTCAGTATGACTTATTACTTCAGTATTGGGGATAGGGACACAAAGTGCTGCAGGTGAAGAGCAGTGAATACATTTAAGCTTTATCACACAAGTTCTTCATAAATATTTGCATTCATCCAATTGATCCACTTCATAATCCATGAGGATAATATAAAACATTTCTACCCAAGTGTGAAAAATTTTGCAAAGATACAACTAGAGCTTTATTGATGAACTAAACAAATCTTACCATGTGATCCACTTTTATCCAAAAAATTGCTGAGATTGAATAGTGTGTTTCTAGATGCCAAATACTGAATAAACCTCTAAGAGGGAGGGAAAGGGATAAGATTAGTTGTATTTTCTCATTGACACTGTCTTCTTGCAATTTCATTACAGACCACAAGCATGTTTCTTTCTAGGTGAAAACCATGACAACTCTAATTAATGCTATGGCTTACACATCTCTAGCCAGTTTGAATACTTCTTTCTGGAGTGGTTCAGTTCACAAAACCAAAATCTGTACTGCATCCTTCTACACTGAAAAGGCATGAGACAATTCAGTTTTCTGCACAGCTGTTCAAGTGGAAGACAATATTTTGGAATATCCTAGAAACGACTTACATCAGATAGATTCCAATATGCATATAATTAATTGTACAATTTAGTGCAACACATATAGCAAAACATTACATTTTTCATATGGGCACTTTAATGAAAAGATTTAATAAGAATTATAAAAGTCCTTATAGATTAAAATAACCTTTTAAAATTAGAATTTCTGGGGGGAGAGGGGAACCAAAAGCATGTTTACACCTTTATCCTAAATATCTGATGTAGCTTACCTATCTATGAAACAACAAGGCTAATATTCCTAACATTTTCCAGTAATATATCAATAAGTCTTGATACATCCTTCAGGGGCCTGTGGCCAAAACAGAGAGTGAGCATTTCATCTTACAGGTATGAGATAAGGCACCCTGATCTGACCAGAGGCTACCCTTGGGTACATCTCATCCAAACTGCTTATGTAAAGCAAGACCTAGAATCAAGTATGACAAGTTAACTGGTAAGTAGGATGTTCAACAAAAATATTAATTAAGCTACAATGTCACAGAAAAAGAGCTTTCAAAATCTATAAATATACACCTGAAGTTCCAGAGGTACAAGTCGACTACCATATTGTAGAGAAATAGTGGCTTATACAAAATGCACTAAATATCACCACAATTTTCTACTTGAGAGAAGGAACTAATATATTTCAAATAGGTGGGGGCAGGAATTTGACTTCATTTTGAGAAGACATGTAATATAAAAACAAAGTAATAAATGAAGTAAATAAACTGAGAACAGATTTTTAGCATGTGCAAGTAACTGTAAAAGGAAACAGGAAAACATCTGTCAGGCCCTGGATCAAATAACTTCAATACATGACAGTGATCCTTTCATTCAAATAACATGATAATCCAATTTATAGATTTCATTGTGTCGGATAAATTACTGGATAAAAGGCCACTGTGAATCTCTAAAACATTCTGAATGATAAATCCACCCAAAGTGATGTACAAGTGGCCAAACAATTTGGTTTAATTTCAGTATGAGATTGTTTTTTCATGCCTTCCTTGGCCAAAATAAGAGTTTCTTTATATCTGTACAGGTCAGGACACAGAACAGTGTCCTGAGATAGGAGATCTCATAAACTGTTAAATTTCCTATATCACACATACTTAAAAGAGAATGACCATAGCCAATGTTGTGCCGACAGAATGAACTCCACTTACTGAACATGCAATTTTCAAAGAATTAGTATAAACAGTAGAGTTGATGGGAAAGCATGCATATGTCGGAATTGCTGGCCACAGCATCCAAGTTTGTTTATCTCTGTCATGTCCACAGAATTATGTCCTATCATGAACTTTGATAACTATGTACTTTCTGCATGAAGAGGCCAACCAGATTCCTTTACTGGTAACCAGCTGGGTCGCTTCAATAGAATATTTATGGATCCTATTAGTTTTCTTTCTTGGGGGAAGAGAGTAGATACAATGGTTGTCCTGTATATATCCATATCTTAGCATCTCCATCCTGAAGTGCCTCCATCTGAGAAACTTAGTCACTTCAGCCACATTCTCCATTCATTTGGGGCCAAGAAAAGTACTAAGCCATTGCTCTCTCCTCTTCCCCAACTTATTTACGCATATGTTTGGATTTGTACTGCCTGTGTATAAGGAGCCTCTGCACTCAGAGGCACCACTGGAGTTTTTATGCACTGAAGGAACTCCAGATAAGAGGGTGCTACTGCCAATGAAACCTGAGAGCTGAAATTCTAGAGAGCTAAAGCTGGTTAGCAGGCATCAAAGTCTTTGCCATGAAGCCTCATATCAACAGTGCTGCCAGCAGCTATTTCTAATCCATTTTTGACTAACCATTTTTTTTTTAAAAAAACCAACACCTATCCCAATGTATGCCACAAAAGGCTGGCAAACATTTGATTATTATGCAATCTTTCATGACACATATTTGAGCAGGGTTCTTTTTACAAAAAAGCTAATCAAGAGCAGGTTAAAAGCAGCAGCTGCTGACATGTTTGATGCAGAGCTGCGTTGGCAAACACTCTGGTCCCTGACCATACTCTAGCTCTGCTAACCAAGCTCTCGAGAATAGTCAGAGAAACAGCATCTTGATCTCAATCCTATTCCTGAATCTCTAAAGAAATCCTTTTTCCTTTAGATTTTTTTTTCCAGTTGAAAGAATTAAAAGAGAGAAAAGAAAAGAAATCAAAGAAGGAAAGTAAAATTGCAAAAGATGAGCTGTCTTTGATCTTAGCCAAAACCTACTTCCCTGACATTACAAAAAGCTGCTCTAGAAGGGTAGAGAAGCCCCTGAAGCAGGAGACAGCACAATAACTTGCTTGTGCCTGTTATCCAAGGGGAAGTACTATGCTGAAATAATACCATCTGGAAGTCAGAAAGAACTGCCAATTTTTTTAATAACTGGAAGGTTGGATTGTATTTAATATATTAAAAGGAAAGCCATATTTAATTTAAAGCTACATTTCTAATACTTGATTGAAAATAAGCTTTGAGAACACTCTGTACTTACCTCATTGCCATGAACCATTAGATGATGTGTTGTAACTAAGGCTTTGAACACAACTACCCAACTACTGTTTGTTGCTCTTTCAAAAAGTGTATCAGCCATTTGAGGAATGTTGACATTTGTTTCATTTGTAGCCTGGATCAGATCTGTTTTGGGAAATTGGAAATTGATTATAGTAAATAAAGGGATAATATATTTGTTAAAGACCATCTAGTCCACCAAAAACAAGAAATAATTTACAAATTAACATCATTATGGTATAAACTTTCATGGACCCTGTCCATCAATTGCAAGAAGTTTTAGCTCGAATTATAAATATGCATGTGGATTGCAAATAGCAAGATCAGATGAAGTGAAATGCAAAAAGTACACAAACAAATATGTTAGTATTTAGGGCATCATGATACTTTTTGCTCTTAATATCATTACAGTCACTCTAGTTTATTGACTAATAGTACCACAGTACTTGGATTTTATTCTAAAAAACTTACAGTAAAGCTTTTTTTTGGGGGGGGGTGTTAATCAATCCATGTGAGACACAAGAAAAACATGTTTAAATTCCACAACAGAGCAGGTTGCGCTGGGCTGCCTGTAATTATTATCACTTATTAGAGGCTAACAAGTGAGTGCAAGCTTGAGCTTAGCCAGAAAAGGTACAGCATTCATATGCAACACAAATCATGTAACCGAATGATTGCTGGGACTTAAATGGACAAATTACCTTCCATTATTTTTTGCATTCTTAATATTTTCTTCTTTGTTCCTGATGTGCTTTGGAAGTCCACAGTAATTACTCTGCTTCAATAGCAAAAACTTTCAGTCCAGTTTGCCACAAATAGGGAAAAACCCTAATCTCCTTCCAGTTCATCTCTTAATAAATGTGTTTCAAATATTACAGCTTAATACACCACAAAAATATTTACTCTTCCTCTAGCTTAAAGCATGTTTCCGCCTGTGCACAAACACACACAAGAAGCACAGTCATCATTTTTGTGCACAGTCATCACTTTTGTGCCATTTCCCTGTCTTCACTGCCAGTGCTCTATCAGCAACCATCCGGGGTAGGGGGTGGGGAGACTGGGAAAGGCTTTCTACAACCTAAGAAAATTATGTTGATCTGTCAGGGAGAGAGCAAATACTTGGGTTTAGCCCAGCCTTAAATGGGTGAGAAATAACATTAAAAATGGGCTAGTCTATACTGAGTGCTCACTGGAAGGACAGATCCTGAAGCTGAGGCTCCAGTACTTTGGCCATCTGATGAGAAGAGAAGACTCTCTGGAAAAGACCCTGATGTTGGGAAAGTGTGAAGGCAAGAGGAGAAGGGGACAACAGAGGACGAGATGGCTGGACAGTGTTATCGAAACGACCAACGTGAATTTGACCCAACTCCGGGAGGCAGTGGAAGACAGGAGGGCCTGGCATGCTCTGGTCCATGGGGTCACAAAGAGTCAGACATGACTTAACGACTAAACAACAACAGTCTATACTTTTGAACTCTCTCCCAGCTCCTACTACTTGTCATGACTTAACGACTAAACAACAACAGTCCATACTTTTGAACTCCCAGCTCCTACTACTTGAGAAGGATAGCTGGACAAAAGAAATTACCTCTCTTAGCAGCTTCTGAAAGATGAGTGTCTCTGTGGTGTAGCCAATAGTATGAGGTGGGCAGGCTTTAGGCACACTTATTCTTTCCACAGTTACTCCCTTGCAGTGTTTATCAGTGCAAAAAGAGAATTCACTAATAGAGATTTACTGCCCAACATGTTCTTTGCCAATTTTTACTTGTTAGTAGCAAACCCAGTGTTGAACCTCTTTCTCACAGATAATTCAGTGACACCCAAAATTGTGCACATGTACACCCTCATAGTGACTTCCAGTCAGTTCTGATTTAGAATTGTGTGGTGCTGAGGCAGGTTGGGATGGGGAAGGAATGGCTGAAGTTGGTCATCTTGGTCTGACCTGAGAGAGTGTATCTACCAAATTTTGTACCTGTTAAAATAGTCTCTGTCAAATATTCTCTGGACGCACAGCTTCCCAGATGGCTGTACAATAGTATGGCCGAGCTACAAGGCAAGGGCCTTCTCTGCATGCCCCCCTCCCTTTGAAAAATAACCTCATTACAGAAATCGACCTGGTTTCCTCACTATAATCATGTAAGCACTGGTATAAGATCTTCCCTTGCACCAATTAATATTTAATTGTTATTTTGTTATTTGTTCTATTAATAGATTTTAAGTACCTTATTTTAAGCTTTAGTGGTAGAGCTAGGAGCCAGGAGTATGAATCTTCACCATGCCTCTAAGAGAGGCACAGCCAAGATTTCCTGGAGCATTTGTGGTTGATGGGGTTAAGTCCCCTGCAACCTGCGTGGCCTTCGGAAAGCTGTACAGTTCCAGAGCACCACCAGAAGAAGGGAGTAAAGTAGTAGTCTGCTTCTGAATACGTATAACTAGAAAACCTTAGGTGTGTAATCATAAACTGGAATCCACTTGATGGAATTTAATAACTATAGTATTATCATCATGTTTTAATATTGAAAGTGACTGAATCATTGTTTTGGTTTTTATTTTATGGATCATAAAATAATGTTTAATGTAACATTCCTTTTTTTTTCTTGTCAACTGCTCCACGTGCCTATGATAAGAGCAAAATAGAAATTACAAGATGTACTAGTGTAAAGCAATTTAAGCAACTGCTGATTTTCTGATTGTTGCACTTTAGAGCTGGAATTGGAAATGTGCCCCACCCCTCCAGATATTTTATATGTACCACCTCCATCAGCCCTTTCCAGCAAAGCCAAAGGTGAAAGGACTTACGAGAACTGTAAGCTTAAAATATTTAGAAGGCCTTAATTACTAACAAAGATGGGCATAAACCAGCAAAATGGTGGTTCATTTTGATTTGTAGTTCATCAAAGTCCTTGAACCATGAGCCACAAATTTCTGAACTTTTACCAAATGAACCACAAATCAGTTTTTCAGCTCCATAAACTGCCCCCCCCCCGCATCTAGAGATACAAAAATCGCACAGAGGCTTCCCCTGACTCTCCTCTACAATCCGTCCAAGTTAGATTAAGTTTGGGTTTCGGATGTCTGAGTTATTTATTTTTTTAATTTAAATTGAGAGGCAGCCCTGCCAGCTCCCACAGCCTGGGCTGCCTCTGCACATGGGCCTGCCTAAACCAACCAGGAAGTTCAGGAAAATGCTACACAAGTTTGTGGTTCGAATCAGTTCAGGTGAACCCAAAATGACCCAAAACAACAAACCAGCAATTTTCCATGTATTTTCTGGTTTGTTTTTTGGTTCGTGCCCATCTCTAGTTATCAATTCTGCCCCAGAATCTATGAATTACCATGATTGCAGATTAGTTGGCAGTAATTCTTAGCCAATCCTCCTAACTACAGAAATCACCTAGCCTAAAAACTGTCCAGGCTTCTACAGTAACATGGTGGCCGTGGGGATCAATATGGACTATGCAGTCCACATAACTAAGCTATAATTTAAACCCACTTTTCTGCTATGAACAAGTAGAAACAGCTTTCTTACATGTTAGCAGCAAATACAGTGCTTTTCTTATCATGCATGCAACTGTACAATTCTATTACCTTAAAACTAGCTTTGTGTGACTTTCTCAGACACAGCTGTCTGAACTACAAGGTTACAAACACCATTAAAATCAGATGTATTCGCTGCAGTGTACAGTGATATCTCCATAAGTTGTGAATGGTGTCTAAAACAGGACTTCAGACTGAGAGTAACATGTCTTCCACTTTGAAGTGTAATATTCCAAGAACAGTTCCTGTTATGAAATCAAGAGCAGGAACAGGAATAAATCTACTTTGCACCCTCCATCGTTTCTACAGGAGGGCCAGGCCAACACATTTGGCTGCCCGTGACAAAGAACAAAATGGGGTACTACTACCCCATCCTATGTATAGTAACTGATCAGAGTAGCAGCTGAATCTTACTTTAGTCAACCCTGGCAATAGGCCAGCATCCTCCATGGCACATGAGGGCAACAGATTAGCACAGGGGGAGGTTGGGCAGGCTGTGTGACGTCTACAACTCTGTCCTCCAGCACCTCACCACAACTCACCCACTGCTCTATCTGGCATCTTCTTGCCGCTCTCCCAAACAAAAGCTGCAATGGTTGCATTATGTGAGCAGAAAAATACAAACATCAAGTCATGGACAGAGGGTTGGAGTCCGTGGTTTAAACAAAATGACCAGAGGAGCTGTTACCTCACCTTTCAGCATGAGCTGCCTGAGGTGGCTGTCTCATTCTGCCAAGAACCACCCTGGCACAGAATCAAACTTATTTCCCTGTTATTCTTAGCAAAGCCACTGTGTTGCTGTCTGAATGGTTTCCATGGTGCAAGATGCAGAATAACAAGAGTGGTTTCAACAAGAGGAAAAATTACTACGGTTTGAAGAAAAAAACTAAAGCTTTTGCTCCATTTGGGCAGGCAGGTACCTGTCAGTGATTCTATTAAACCAGCATTTTCTCAATCACATTCATGTGGCAAACAGAAGTGGGGGAGGGAGAAAAAGAAAATTAAAAAAAGCTAAAATTCAAATAAGTACCTGTTTTGCAGGAAACCTATTTAGCTCAACTGCGTGATCATGCAAAGACAGTTATTAATCCTTAAATGCAAGAACTGTCAGGAGCTTTTGTTATCTGGAAATCTTAAGGCTGTAGCAATTACTACCTATAGAGAAACTAGTTGAGACAAAGAAAGCAAAACATGATCAAATTAATAAAAACGCACTACCCAAACAACTTCTCCATGGGCAATTTTTACTTCATAAGTAAAAAGACAAAGGGAATGCTCAGCCCTTCAGCTGCAAGCAGAACTGTTGGCTAATTGTGACAGTGTGAGCGTGCCAGGTAGCCAACAAGCTCGTGGTAAGCTGTTGGGCTCCATTAAGATGGCTGAGAGAACTCAGCCTAGGGAAGAGGCTAAGGCACAGGCAAAGGGTTAGGGAAGACAGCCGGGGAAGGCACAGAAGCTTAATCAAAGGACACCTGCTGTGAGCAAAAGGAGGAGAAAAAGGAAAGAAGTGAGAGTGAGCCATCCCCTCCCACATCTGAGAGGAAAGCGGAGAATGAAGGAATTGTGAGAGTTACCTGAAGTGGTTCATC